TATCACATTTTTAAATTACTTGACATGTTCATATAGAAAACAGAAAGCACAATATAGTAGATGTACATGTATGTCGTATATCATACCTTATCTCCAAACTGCAAAACTGACAGAGAGAGCCTCTCCATTGTCTTGAGCTTTAAGCTGAGATCAAGAACATCTTTGTGTCTTTGTTTTTTCTTCTGGACTCGTGGAGTTTTCTTTGCCTCTTGAGGTACTCTCTCTGGGCCCGTGAACAAAACCAGAGCCCCTTTTCGAGTAAGGTAAGTCTTAGGTATATGGAGTTGCCCATCATCAGTTACGGGAATTGGGGTTGGTACTGTTTTAGCACGCGGTGTTACTGTTACACCGTGACGATGAATTGTTTTCTGAGACTCCAGGCTAGGTAAACTGTGATTAGACTGAAATACAACATATGTAAATCAGTAAACCGCTGAATATATTAGCCATGTAACAAACAGAAATATGGGAGAAGTGGAAAGAGCTTTCAATGTGTCAAAAGAAAAAGAGACAGGGGCAAATAGACTGACAATGAACAATGAAAGATGAAAGAAATGGGGTGGAGGGGTAGCAGGGATTGAAACTGGGGACTAGTGGGGGATATGGTACTTAATAAAAGACACAAAGAAAAGACAAGAGGAGGAGGCATAAAAATAAAATAGAAAAAGAAAAAAAAACAATAACAGAAAAGAAACTGAAACAGCTTACACATAAATATTAAATGTGTCCTTTTGGAGTCGTGTTTTTTTAATGTTTTCCTTTTATGTGATGTGGTGTGAAAATAATAAGTCACTTTTCACTCTTTTCCCCCTTCAGTCAAAACTAAGTTTGGATTTCTATGTTTTTCCCCACCTTTCATATTTTCAGGTAATCCTAACTTTTCTTTAGGTCAGGTGTCTGAAATCTACAAATTGCTGGAGTGCCAAGAATCAAGGCAAGAAAAAAATTACAATAATGCTGATCATAATACTAATGATCAATGAACTGGATCATATATATAAATTTACATAGAATGCTTTTACAAAGACATGATAAATATAGACACACAGAAGACATTAACTCTCATACCTCTGATGACGGATCAGCCAGAAGCCCATGCCAGGTACCATAGCCACGCGAGAGGGAACTTAACATGATTTAAATCTGACGCGAGTCGAAAAACGTTGCCTCCAGAAACTCAGTAGGCTAGGCCTAGTAGTAGAAGAGTTTCACTCCATTCCATCCAATGTCACAGAAATGGAAACAACAGTGTGATTTACTGAACATTTTTTCTTTGATAGTGGTGAGCCGGTATCCACACTACTCCATGTACATTACTTAACTTAATAAATTACAGCGTCTTACTTGAGAGTGTCTAACTCTAACTCATATCTTCTCAGTCTCAAGAAAGAGAATTTCATCTCTGGTTAACGAAAACAAATTTAAATGCTCACGATCTTAGCAAGTACACTTTCCTTATGAAAACAATGTTTTTACTGATGCCGAGGTCACATTAACAACAGCAGAAGCCACAACAATCATAAACACAAGTTTGAGAAGAGCTGGAGACGAGCAATCCACTCCTTCGTCTGATCGATCTTTTCACATGGGAGCGAAAGGGAGGAGCCAACTCTCTCTGGCATTGATCACCTACGACGCTTTCTCGCTCCAGGAAGTTGCTCTGGGCTAGCCCAACTGTAGGGGTGGTAGCATGCCTGGTATTTGAAAAGAAGCATAATAAATATTCATTTTGAATACAGTGATGCCTTTACTTCTCTTGACTACATTTTCGTAATAAATTTCCAACAGATCAGTCCAACTTCATAATGTTAAGAAATTAAAACATGAGCTCTCATTCCCTATTTTCCCCACCTTCCAAACTTTACAAATCCCGCTGCGCATGTTCAGGTTCACAATAATCGGTTGTTTCCCTTTCTTACTTCCGCTTTTTAGTCGCCTACTGCTAACGTACACGTAGAGTGAAAGTGAAGCAGCTTCAGAATACAATAAATCTTCAAGATGGTAAGTTGTCTGCAAATCCTTCACATTAGACGATGATGCCCCGTTCCTGCTTTGTTTTTTTAGGCATGTGCTTGGAGACCTGTGCTTAAAATGTGTATGTCTAGATGCACACACCGGTACAATAATATATCGATCATTGTATCATCTTATCCCTGCTCAGTCTGACTGCTGAGGGCTTGCCACGTACCGTCTCTCCGTGCATACACAGTTCTCAGTTCGTTTCTGTTCAGTTTTACTGTGACAGAAGATTAATTTTGAGTTGGATCTAGATCTAGCTGTTATTTGTGTTTTCATTATGATTGGGCAAGAACCGCCTGTTTTCTGATAAACTGCATTGTGGATACACCCGTTTTGATTCAACCTGGTGGCCACCCCCTCCCATGCCTTGCTTGCTAAGCTAATAAAATCTGTTTAGCTTCAAGCGCAAGGGGCATAACTCAGCAGTAATTATCCAATGCTTCTGTTTACTTTATTTTATTGCACAGTACAATGATTTTGATTCCGTTCCGAGCCTGATTCCATGTAGGCCTACTTGTCTTTTGTTCACTTTATTCCTGGACTACTGACTACTACTGATTAAGGTGATCTTGTAGTTCCGTTCGACAAAGTCCACGATCCATTTGTTTATATCCAGAGAAAAAATCCAGAAGTCTTGATGACCAAATAGGCAACACAAAGAGCAGGGATGCAACCTAACTGCAATACTAATACATAACATTATGGTAAAATTAAGGGGGGCATGCCCCCCCCCCCCCCTCCATATTTTTATTAGGTCAGGGGGCTGACTCTTGGGGCCCAAACCAGCAAATAATTATTGGGGGGTGGGAACTGCCGAAAAAGCACCCTTCTTTGCTTGAATTTTGATTTTCTGGCTTAAGTGTTTCCTTCCAGTCTCACTCTTAGTTCACTCCTCAACTATTACCTGGCAATTCAGGGTCTCTGGCGTTCAGCTTTGGACTTTAACGAACGAAACTACAAAATGAACAATCTGGAATCTATGACTATGACTAGATCTAGATCTCTAGATCTAAATCTATCTATAGGCCTATTATTATTATATTGACATTTGACGCAAGTGAAAGCATGAGACTGAGGCGATTGTTAAGATTCCCGCATTTGATTCAGATAAATTGCGTTTTTCAGGGTTAGGGTTACAATTAGGGCTAGGGTTAGGGACCAAAGCGAAACATGCCTGAGGCTATGAAAAACGCAAATCAGAATTAAGCGCAGGAATCTTAACAATCGCCGAGACTGGTCCATTTATTTTTCCATTTTGAAATTAAATTTTCAAACTTTGTTACTGGATAGTAGAGTAGATCTATCTAGATCTAGTGATAGGCCATTATTTTCTCTTCAAGACAAAACATTTAGCAAATGGAAGTGGTCTTGAAGAGGTCTTTATTGGAAGTGCTAGACCCTCTATGATAGATGTGCACCCTTAGGGGAAGCTCAATTTTTAAAAATTATATTATTTAAATCGTTACATTGAAAAATAGATGTGTATTGTCAAACTTTTACTGAGACTGAGGTGGGGCCAGGGTCCCAAAGAAATAGGCCTCTTTGCAACCTCGTGTCACTGTCACATGACAACACATAATGTAGTTTCCTGCCTGTATCGTCTTGTTTTGTAACCCCTTCAATGCTGCAGGTAGGCCCTTGTGCCAGGGGAAATCCTATGACAAGGCTGCTCAAGGTTGACCCTACTCTACATCCCGTAACTTTTAAATTTATAAATATATCCTCCTGAATTTCTGTTTTTACATTGAACCACATTTCTGTTGATATAATTTAGGGGGAATTTCATTTAGATATAGATGGAGAAAAGTTGAAGTTAGTAACATGATGCCAAAAACAACACCAAACAACATAAAAACAACACACATTCGAGTAGTGATAAACTGAGCCGGAAAAAAGGGGAATACATGTTGTGTGAGTGTTTGCAGAGGTAAAGAAGAAGTGACAAGTCTTTTCCTACCTTATACAATGCTCGTACAATCCATATATATATGTGTGTGTGTATATATATATATATATATATATATATATATATATATATATATATATGAAGTGTCTACGTTCTCTAATGTTGGGTGCTTCCAATATTCCGCCATTGTTTAGTTTCCTCCTGACCTCATCTGCCGATCCCGTAGAATTTTCCTTGGCATGTGGGATGCATATTCTTCTTCTCGATCGCGGGATGCATAAATTATAAATGGGAGTTATTGGTAAAGGGGTTCAATTGTGTATGGTACTAAATTGTTCTGTAGGTCTTCTAGCTGTATAAATGTAGATCTAGTTTAAAAAGACTTGTCATATCTGCTTTTGTTGAGGCAGAGGTAAATCAAGAACAACTGGCCTACTTCTTACAGGACTTAAACAAACAGATAAGTGATGGGGAAGGCCGGGGTGAAACAGGTTTGGGGGGGGGGGGGAGCATCTGATCAGAGAAATGATTTTTTTTCTTCTCCATTTTTCAGTTGGACGTGGAGCTGATGAGCCGCTATGTGTCTCCCATCAACCCAGCTGTTTTCCCCCATCTGACAGTGGTGTTGCTTGGCATTGGAATTTTCTTCATGGCCTGGTTTTTTGTGTATCCTTTCACGGTCTATTGTTACAAGGATATTATACCTCTTGTAACTTGGCTGGCAGCCTATGACATGGACAGAATTATGGAAGTGGTGGTTTGGGGAAAATGTGTTGTTGTACTAACTTTTTAAAGGCTTTTGAGTTGCTAAAAACCTGTAAATTCTTTGCTCTATCGACAGACCAAATGGGGTCGAACTCACATGGCCACAGGTTCCGAAAAATAAAGGCTTTTGAGCTTTATAGGAAATTTTTCAGTAACAGTAGTGAAGTTTTGCTATGTCATGTCAATGAACAAAAGAGAGAAACTAGGAAGAAAGTACAGGACAGAAGAAAAAGCTTCCTTTAAGTATTGGCACAGAAAGTGAAAATATGTAATACTACTAATACCCTATATGCAGTAGGTACTCTTGTTGGAAGTCAGCATTTGTGAGACAGGGGAGAGGAGCCAGTGGGGTTTCAGAAGATGAAGATACACATAATAATATGTTCATGGATGTAAGTAAGATGAAATAGCTAGTGAAGCACCATTCAAAGGAAGTAATACGTGTCAAGGGCATAAAAATGAATATGGTATTATTTCAAGTGTTCTTAACATGTTTTTCGCCTGTGAAGCATATATATTTATCATCAAGCAGAAAAATGATAAAGACTTGCCTGTAAACATTTAACACAAAGATAATGCTTTCTTTAAGGTGCTTTCCTCTGTCATCTGTTGTTTATTTTTACCACTGCCATGGACTTAGTTGCTTTAGTATTAGTCTCATGTAAGTCAACAATGTCTTGAAATTTAGTGTTGGTTTTAAAAAATTATGAAGTATTCACCCTTTTCTGTAGTTCTAAACAATGATCATCATTACCCAGTCCTATTTTTTTCCTGAGCTAGAAACAGATATGAAGTTACCAGTACCAAGTTTGCACGTGACTTATTGAAAGAATTGGTGGTGTCACTTGTCGCTTCAGTCTTCATGGGATTTGGAGTCTTATTTCTGCTTCTATGGGTTGGCATTTACGTCTGACAGCGGCTTCTGAACGGTATGTTTGCATTGTCGCTGACACTGATTAATTTTGGATGTATTTTGTGATCTTCAGACAGAAAAAAATTGTTTTTGTACATTTATTTTCTTTAGGGACCACTTACATTTGACTTTAAAATTTAAACAAAAAACGGTGAAAAACAATCAATAGTTTTTATAAAAGATTCCTGCCTTGAATTTATGATGATCCTGTTCACTTTGGGTGGTGATTTATGTGTATCCATGTTACTTAGGGATGTATATACAGTAGAACATGACGATAGCAGCACCCGCTACAGCGGGACCTTACCAGTATCCCCTTTTTGTTCCTATGTAAACTCACTCACTTAGCTCTATGCTTGGATAATAGCGGGGCAAGGAAAGTCCCCAACTCTGATACAGCGGGAGAGATCAAGCGAGCTCTAGCTGGGGAGTGGGGGGCTGTTGGTGGGCATCAAACAGGCAGTTAGCGGTGCGCAAGTGATGAGTGAGGTGGGGCAGGCAGTAGGCTTAGAGAGAGATAGAGAGACGCGTTACGTGAACTGCTCCAAAAGTGATGTAGATCTGTACAGTAGAACATGGCTATAGCGGCCCCGCTGCAGCGGTATCTCACTAGAATCCCCCTTTTTATCTATTTAAGCTCCATTTCCTGTGTTCGGGTTTAACGGGGCAAGGAAAGGCCCAAACTTGGAAACAATGGGAGAGACCGAGCGAGCTCTAGCTGCGGAGAAGGGGTTTGGGGGGTGGGGGGCTATAGGCAGGTTCCAAACAAGCTGTCAGGGATGCAGCGTTGTGATTGGCCTGTCCAGTGATGAGTTAGGTGGGCAAGCGGCAGAGAGAGATGGTGCGGAGACACGCGTTATGTGAGCAACTCCAAAATTTAAAATGATGTGTCATAGCCTTGACGTTCAGTACCGTATAAGAGAGGCCATAGCCCTAGGTTAGGCCAAAAAGTAAAAGAAGAGGAAAGCGTGTAGTGTGTGATTCCTGATTCATTGAATTGTGATCATTGATGCTCAGGCCTAAGCACACGTCCACTTAGTTCTACTGTAGGCCTACCTGTACCAGGTACGACAACAACTAAAGGCAGCACAAGCAACAAACCAAGGAAAAGATGGCTTACAACAAAGACCAAAGGAAAGAAATGCTTCTCCCTCGAATTAAGGGTCAAGATAATCAACGAAGTTGACTAGAAAAGGAAGACAAAAATATATATAAAGCGAAATTTTTTTATATGAAAGGGATGTAACTGTGTGGATTTTTATAACTTTTTCTGTAATTTTCCCCTATGCATTCCTATAGATGGACCTCGCCTGCAACAGGATTTTTCTCCAGGAACCTAAAGTCCCGCTATAGCCGTATTCTACTGTATATTATATATACTATTGTTACTATATAGGGTAGACAAAAATATGTTGACTCTCATAGTAAAGTACGGTAATTCATCAGCCCTGTTATTTAATACTTTTTGGGTACCGCTAAAATAAATGTCTTCTCTGAAGTGCCATTTACTTGAATATTTTAATATAGTGTGGTCAAAAAGTCATGGCGCAACTTATCAGCAGGTGAATCAATGTTACCCGTACTTTGTACACCAATTATCAATTTGTCTGAACGGAATCATACTTTTCCACAACAGTTGAGGCTCGATTTAAAAACTTTACAACATAAATATGTGTAAAATACTACAAATCTCTTTCACGCAGAAAATGGAATTTTTTACAGCACTTCCCGCTTCTCCCACACATTTTGCGTATGCATAGCCCTACATCACAGTTCACCAATGACACTTTTTAGTGGTAAAACTACTTTAAAAAATCATTTGATAGTGGACACTTCTTTGCACTAAAAGTTCTCAAAACATGCGTTCAATAACCATAATTTAGCAATTAGAAAAAGATGAGGGACTTGCTTTTCAAAGAGTGATATTCTGTCCCCATCAGATTGTGCAGCCGTTTTTTTGGCGTAATTCTGCAACATTTGCATAATGTTGGGTTCCCTGAATGTTTTCACTGTTTCTTTTTTTTTTTTTTCATTTCTCACATAACAATTATATTTTTACTGTCAAAAGAGCGAAAAGAATATTTTGTCTATGAAAGAAATTAATTTTGCGAAGTGCACAAAGTCCATAATTATCCGTTTCCGGTAACTGGCCGAGGCTTGTTGATGTTCACCAAATGGGGGGTCGGGTCGGGGCGGTTTGCTAGCCAGATTTAGGGCGCAAAGCAGCTATCGTGGCACAATCCGATGGCGCCCGACTCGTCGCCTCAAAAACAAAAACGCGTTTGTTTTCAGATGATGAGTGGGACGATTGTCCGCAACGCGATCCCCAATGGGCATCCTGTAACAAAGTGGAGATGGATAGGATAAATTTTTTTAACATATCAAGACGGCTTCCAAGACATCTGCAGGTGAACGTCAACGATAGTCTATCGACACAACACACGTTTCTGGTCTATTTTCACAATCACAACTAAAGCCTGTATGAGCTGCTTTGTGAGGTTGGGTTTTTTTCGTTTTTTTATCAGCCCAGCATGTCTTTCATCAGCACATCACTACTACTATGTTTGTCTTGCTTTTTATTTTAAAAATATCCATTGAATACAAGTCGAGATATTTGGTAATGAAGGAGGTGGGAGTCACCTGGTTTCAGGGGTAAAATTAGGGAGAAAATGGCTGCTAAAGATAAGTTATTTCCTTAGCTTGAGAGTATGTGGATACTGAAAATTTACATTTGTTGTGCTTTTAATCAACATTTTTCAGTAAAGTCCGCACAGAAAAGTGTTTGTTAATGAGCATGAAAGGTGTTGAGCCAAAAACCGAAAATTTGATAAAAATCCGCAGACCTGCGGAAAAATGCCAGTTTCTACACACTTTAATCGTTTTGACAAGAGCCTGTTTTCACCATGCTGCCTCACATATTTATAATACTTTGCCTTTTTTTCTATGTGTTGGTCTGGTCCAGATGTCTTTTTTTGGTTACATTTTTCTTTCCTCTATACAGCTAAAAGTTACAGTCTATTTTATGGTTAGTTTTTCTGACCGATGTGTTCTGTTTTCTTTCCAAAAATGCACAAAAAATTACTGATACTGATATATGCTAATTCAATGAATGTTCTGTTTTCAATTCTTCTGTAACTAAGACATGAAAATTCTTGTTGAACTAGCCTGGCAGGCAAACAGTGTGGGAGGACTGTGTTGTAATTATGAAGGCTGTTGTCTGTGATTGCTTAGCGCCGGAAAACTTCACACCTCAGGGAGTGGGTGGTTGGCGGGTGCTCTGGTGTGGTTTGCTTCTTTCCTATCAAACATCTGTCGTCTTTATCTCCCCTCTTTCTTTTTTGTTTTTGTTACTCTCTTGAAACACCTCTAATCTTCGGCACTTATATGACCTTATTGTGTTGCAAGTGCCATAAAACACTTACGAAAACTAAAAACACCTCAGGGCAATCTCAGCTAAATGATACAACCCACCATAGAGGAACAGATTGGAGACATGGTTCACAATAATTTTTGAAATTCAACAGAATACTTTCTCTAGATTACTCCCTTTTGAAATTCGCTTAATGGCATGTTTGTGTAAGAAGAGCATGCTTTTCTTGTCACCCAAGGTGTGTGCTATTATTAGCCGGAACCACTCCTACTTGTCCCCGTGGTTTTATACACCCCGCATAATTTAGCAAAATTATAAATTTGATCACTTTTTGCATAACTTCTGATTATTTTCCTTTATCATTCTTTGTTAAAATTAACATAACACATAATTTCACATTTTAGGGCTCAGTTTGCATAATTTCAGAATTTTTCTTGCATAAAACGACGGGGACAATCCTAACTGCTGCTTGGACACTGTGCAGCAGTAGGTAAGAAGTTGGAAGTGTATTGAGCCTCCTTGCATTGTAAAATTTGCTCACACTGGTACCAGAATCTGACCCAGTGTGTTGCCACCAAATTCTTCACTCACACATCTGAATTAATTAAATAGCAACCTATTTCGTTTGTAATTGCCATTGGGTCTGATCGAGTAACTAGAATCTAAAAAATTATAATATTGGCCTTTGCTGGCCTACTTTTCATGCTTACAATTGTGTATGAGCTTGCGGTGATCAGTTATGGATTTGTAAGAAGAGTTTTTCTAATGCTCATCCCAAAGATTATTAATATTAGTAGAAGTAGAGTGCTGAGCTAACTTGCAACAAGATCTGGGTTGCTCATTACTCAGACTCGAGTGAAACAATTATTTTTACATCTTCCTACTATTTTATCTTTTTCGATTATCTCTTTCTTTGACAATGTAATTACAGTGGAAACCATATATAACAGGCCCGGTAATAACAGGGATCCGGTAATAATAGGGATTTTTTAAATCCCCAATTTTTTCTTCTCTTTCTCTATATTAAAAGTTATCGGCAATAACAGGGCCTCATCGGAGCCCAACCGGTTATAGCAGGGACAAAAGCTCGTTAACAATGTGTAAAAAAAAGTAAGAGAGAGAGAGTGAGAGAGAGAGAGAGAGTAACACAGTGATGGAGCAAGCCATGCCACTGCAAGCACACGCAGCGTGTGAAGCGAGAGAGGGCTGCGGTGTGCTGCAGACCTCGATCTAGCCCAAAACCTAGCAACACACACGCGTAATGTGTCGCCAATGATGTCAAGCGCAAGAGAAAATGCCTTTCAATTGAAAAAAAAACACGAAATAATCCAGGCTGTAGACAAAAACCAAGATCCACTTGCAGAGATTTGTCGTCAGTTTGACATTCCACAATGATGGATTCACATCATTATCATGGATAGAGAGAAGATAGTGGCAGCGTACTCCAATGGAAAGTTTGCTCTGGATCGAAAGAAGATGAGACTACCCGATGCAGATGCTGTGGACCAAGCTCTTCTGATGTGGTTTTAGGAGACAAGGAGAAAATTGGTGCCAAAACCCCTGTTCGTGGGTACTTGTGGCAAGGGAAACTACCCATGAATAAGTAGGCTACAGCTATATTAGTCCACAAATGCTTACTTTCCTTGCATTTCTGATTTAACAGGGATCGGATATAACAGGACATTTTCTTTACTCCCTCCATCCCTGTTATATCAGGTTTCCACTGTAGTTAAATTAGGTTCATTTTTTTTGTGCATGTTTGAAATTGTTTGGTTGGTTCTGCATTGTTTACATAGACCCTAATATTTTAATGGAATACCCACACAATGTTGTTTGTTAAACACAAAGCCATTTAACGGGAAACCACTGTTAAAATTTCAAATCCCCAGTTATTTTTTTTCTCTTCTTTATTTTATTTTTATGCTTTGCAACGTCCCTCAACAGATTTCACTTGCACATGTACAAAGGAATTCTAGACTGTTTCATAATTCCTCCCGGCTGACTCTCCCCTGTTTTTGTGCTCGCGGTGCCCAACTGTTTTTAATGCACATCACACAGCATGCGTTCAAGGGGTTAACTACCGTTAACACACACACCCTAGTTTAAACTTTAATGCTTTGTTCCATGGGACAGAGAGCCTAGTTTAAGTTAATGGGAATGTCTCTTTTTTAATTTGGGGGGGGGTGTGTCGCATACAATCTTTAGAATGGGCAAAATAAGATTTATCAACTCCATGTTTTCCTATTTGTTTTTGTTCTTACACTGAGTGGGCCGCCTACGAAGTATGTTGTAGCATGGAAAAACCATCAAGTAAACTGCTGCAACCTCCCTGAAATCTCATTTTGTGCAGTCAGGTCATCTGTTGCTGAGTGAAAATTAGGTTTCCCTTTTTCTTTATTTCCAAAGGTTTGCAGTTCTGCATGTGTTTGACTAAAAATGAGTTGCACAAGGCCTAACACCTGATTTCTACAGAATATGGTACTCGTACAATGTTGACAGTCATTCATGCCCTCAGTATTGTCACATATATTCATAACATGCATTTCTTTTCTCATCAACAGGTAATTACGGCAAGAGTGTGATAGCAGTATGCATTGGATGGATCATATACAAGTTTCATTTGGTTGTCTTTTCTGTGAATGAAAGTCTGTTGTATGTATCATTTGAGACCAAAATATAGTTTGTTTGTTACTAAATAAAATCTGTAAAAGTCACTAATAGCCTTTACTTTTCCTTTTTTTAAAAAGAATTTATTAGTTCTATCGGTAGTGAAACCAGTTTAGCCACTTTCAATGGCACGGACACTTTTTAAAAAATGATGCAGGGACTCAGAAATATTGTTACTCCTGCTGCTTTGCATCTGATCTGTTGAATGAATAACTGGGTTCTGACAAACGAGGTCACAGCCATTACCCAGCACCCACTCTCACATGCCTAGATCAAGGAGGTGTTAGTACCTTGGCCTTATTACAGAAGTTACACACAAGTTATGTGTGATGACAAAGTTTCTGTATAACAAGATGGTTCACTCCTCTCTTCGACCTGTTTAAAAAAAGGCCCTCAAAATCCGGTGGCGCCCTCTTCGAAAAAGCGCCCGCTTTGCGTACAGATACCCTACTACTAGTAGGGTATCTGTACGCAAAGCGGTGTGGAAAAAAATTAACAAAGTGAAACTAACAAGTTTCTGTGTAAATTATAATTAAAATTTCGGAATAACGCATTTTTAAATGGTTACGCTGACAAAAATCCTCTGCAGGTGAAAGGGGCGACTGTTTTCTTAGTTTAATTTGGCTTTAGTCTTTAGAACGAGAGGCGGGAGGTCATTAAAATGAAATAAACTTAAACCTCCGCTCTGAGTGAACCGGAACAGCTGATGCACAAGGGGGTGCTATTCCTATTCTTCTTCTGGAGAAATGAAAGAGAGCTTCAAAACAAAGACTGCAGCGACATCTGAACCAATGCACGGACTTCCACGGACACTTTTTTGGCCGAGTGAACTATCTGGTTATGTACAATCTTTTGTGATGATGCATCTCGATATAATAATATGTACCACAGTACTGTGTGTATCAATCATGTGGTGCCAGGGCGAGCATGGTGGGCTCATGTAACCTGATACATGATGTACTCCAGTGACGATTGATGTGTTGTTTTCCATCTTGTGAGCAGGGCAATTTGAATTTGTTGAGGCAATAATTGGTCGCTTTTAACTTTTTTAAGCACAAGGGGGCTTTCCCGAAAAATTCTGTTTTGATAAAATCGAAAGTAAAGTTTTTGCCCCTTGTTCAGTTTCATTACAAAACAAGGAGACTTTTCTCTATGATGACCAAACAAATGTACACACCAATGAAACAAGACTGTTCCTATAGGTAGGGCAATGCCCACTTTGGGCGTAGGTCAAGGTTTCTGGAAACCTCTAAAATCTGAGTTAGCCCGCTTGTTCTTAAAAGCAACCAATTGTTGGTGAAAATTTGATTGGGTTTTTCTGGATGAGACGTTTGACGAGTGTTTGAGAAAACAAACATTAATGTTGCCAATACTGGCAGCACAAAATGTAACAAAAACAACAAAAAACAGCGGAATGGCATATTGTACAAGATATCCGCAATTTCGAATTTTGAGTGTTCTTGTTCATCGTGGGAGTCAACCTGTCTTCTGTGTGCAACGGCGAAAAGCTCAGTAGCTGCTACACCAGAGACGTAGATTGACCAGTTTGATCCATATATGTATCGGACATTGAATTGCAAAGAAGATGTAGGCTACTCAACAGTGACAGTGATGAGGAGATGCATAATGTATTTTATGTATAGTCAAACCTCTTTATACTACTAAATTACTACTGCCTCCCCCCACCCGCCTGCCTGGAAGCCTACCCAACTTCTGAAATGTGCCTTCGACACAAATTAGATCTTTTTAAATAAGAGGTGGTCTTCAACCATGCCTGTTAGGGCCAACCCGGGCTTAGAGGGATACAACATCCCAGCAGAGAGACTGAGATACTTGATTTAAAATTTCTCCTAACTCGTGAATCAAACTTGGGTTTCCAGTCTGTGTGCCACAGCGAAGTGCCTAACCTCTACACCACAAATTCCAGTTCAATGGTGTTCGAGTTCATGAACAATATGACTTCCTTAAAAATAATAACAAGCTTATAATATTATATTAAATTTTAAAGTAAAGTAGTGTCCTGCATTTTACATCTGTGACGTACACATATATAGGTCTAGAACTAGAAGTTATACTTAGTTATAGGATGGGGGAGTCCTCCAACTTTATCATACTTGATGAAGAAACAAATCACATAGCTGGCTATTAATTACCACTACCAGCTGATAAGTGTTCTCACTTGGTCATTCGAGTTTGAGAACTAGATCTAGAGATCTAATTACTACCGTACCAGTAATTCATATTAAAAAATTGTAAAGTTTTACAACCCTTTTGGCATTATGTTTACATTGTAGATCCTTTAGGTAGCAGGCTACTTTGACCTTGCTCATCAGGGCCAACTCAAGTTGAGAGAGATACAGCCAAACTCTGACAGGACACACAGGACCAATAGTTTTCCCTTGTAAGCGATTCCTGTTATAAGTGTTAGTTCAAGGGAAACTACCAGTACCACAATACTATAATATGCACCTTCAGTTCACCTTATTCGGATTCGATTATATGGCAGATCCTTTTCCAGTGAGTTGTTTTGCTGACACTGAGACGGAACCGATCAGTGACCCCAAATGGGTTTAGGCAAGCGATCATGTAATTATTACAAGCTGGCGAAATGTCTAGTAGTAGTAGTATAAGGTTTTACGGCGCTCGCAACTGCCAAGGTCATATGAGCGCGCGAAACACAAGTTGTTCACCTCTGCGAAAGTTCACTTCACGACTGGTAACTAATTTACTTTAAAATGCTAAAAAGTTAAAATATTCAAATTCGGTGTAAATACATTTGTGATCTAAAACAACTTTTAAGTAACAATAAAAATTTTTAATAATATCAGATTCACTTTACAACTCGCCATAAAGGCCAATGGCCTTTATAAAATTTAAAATTCTGCTGGGAACAACGACGGAGAAAATATCCTGCAATTTCTTGCATTTATAATATTTCCTTCGGATCTCTCCAAAGTCTAGACATTCTGTTAAAATGTGTCTAATGGTAAAATCTGTGTCGCATCCGACACAGAACGGCTTCTCCTCTCCCTGTAGTAGGTATTTGTGGGTCAGGGCCGTGTGTCCGATGCGCAATCGAGTAAAAATGACTTCGTCTCTTCTGGAGAGATCCGAAGGATTTCGCTGTTCTAGTCTGGGTTTAATTTCATATAATTTATTATTTTTCTGGTTTTCCCAGTGGCTCTCCCACAGACTGGAGGTGTACTTTTTGACTTTATTTCTAAAGTCAGTCTGTGGGAGAGTGTTTGTCGTTGATCCCAGCAGAAGGGATGAAGCTTTCTTCGCCAGGTCGTCTACCTGCTCGTTTCCCCGGATGCCCACATGGCTGGGTATCCATGCGAACATGATGTTTTTTCCTGTTTCGGATAGTGTATGGATTTTCTGTTGTAGGCTAACTATTTTTGGGTGTAGGAGTGTGTAGTTTGTGAGTGAGGTGATGCAAGACAGAGAGTCAGAAAGGATAAGGAAAGATTTGTTAGGGGAATTTTCTACAGAGTCCAGTGCCATGTGAGACAAATTTTAATAATTTGGACAGATCGAAAGCAAGTTCATGCGCTGCAAGATCACTGTTATATCCGAGTCTGCGTAAATTGAACCCAGTTGTAGTAGTAGTAGCCAGGTTCATACACTTAGAGAAAAAAAAAAACTGGGGATTTAATTTTTCACCGTTATATTGCAAGTTCCTGTAACAACAGAGTCTGTTATAAATGCACAAGACTACAAATATATCCCAGCAGAAAATCAAGAATGCTTGATGGAAATTCTCTTCACATAGGAATCGAACTGATGTCTTCTGATTCCGGGTTCAATGGTGTTTGAGTCCACCAACGATACGGCTTCCAAACTTATGTGGCGACTTGCATTTTACGTCTTTGACTTGACTTGTACTTATAACTTATAGCATAGGACAGGAGATTCCTCCGACATTATTATACGCCCAGAAAACTGAGTCCAAGAGATGGCATGGGTGCAAGCACAAATTCGAACAGGCTACATGTACATTGTATGTGATTTTATTGTGATAAGAAAATTAATTAATGCATGTAGGCTACATGATGCAATCTTGACGAAACTAAAATGCTTTTTTTTTTGTATTCTTCAAAATCCAGAAAGAAAAAGACCAAGAAAAGAATCGCTTGCGGGTCATTTTGTTTATTTTGATACGCTGGTTTCAAATCTGATATTTTTATGATACGATGTAGTTTTCAATTATAAGTCCCGACTGGTTGACAATAAAATGTTAATTATAAACTTACACTACTTACAAGGCCTATGTCCTATTGTAAAAATATTCCAAACCAAATGTATCAAAATCAAATGACTCGAGGGTGACTTTTTCTTGCTGTATTTTGAAGATCACAAAAGAAAATAGTACATTGTACCTTAACAGTAATAACAGTTAACCTCGTAATAGTAGTAGTAATAGTAATGCATGTACCGCCTACCTTGGGACAAACATTCAACTAAGTTGGTGGTACTGGTACAGCCGGGCTGACGGCATAAAATAAAAACCAGCACCGATTGTCATTTTGACTTGTGTAGACTGCACAAGGGCAAGAGACGAGACAAACTGGCGTCTTGCCTCATGCTAACTATGGCTACATTTCTTGCGCGATGGCTCTTCACCGGGGGGGGGGGGGCGTACCGGTAGCAATTAGTTAGCCTACATTAATTACAGAACCAGCTCAATTTTAAGTAAATTCGAATGTTTAATTTCAGACGGAACACAAGCAAGGTCACATAACATGCATGATGCATCAAGGACCCTGTAGACAAAATTTTTCTGTAGGGCCTACATGGTACACGTCAGTCCCTTTCTCAGTACTTTCATGTAGACTTTGTGAGCGCTCACAAGTTTTTTAAAAAAGCCTCACGGATATAGCAGGGCAAATTTACATGTTCCAATTATTTTATTTATACCGTACAACTCAGTTGGCAGTGCGAAGACGCAAATAAACTTATGTTTTTATAGAGTTGGCAAAACCTGGCTGTAAGCGGGGTTGGCAGTATAAGGTTTTACTGCATTTTTACCAAGATTGCATTTCAATTTCATATTATTTTCCTGTTACAAAAGAGTCCAGAGGACAGACAACTGTCATTTTCAACTGAACGTGAGTAATACATGCACCCGTTCTACACAGATTGACAGACCCTTGCATTCTCACTGAAGATTGTGGTGTGATTATAGGACTTGATAGTGATAGCACCAAACTTTGTGGGAAGTTCAAAGTTTACTGGCACTTGGCACACTCCACAACCAGTAAATGAATTCTTCACTTGCTTTTACAATTACATGTAACAAGAATTTTTGTTGGCTAATAATTGGAAACAATGAAACCACAATATATGATGTAATTTCAAGGTAACCTCGTATAATTTGTCTCTTCCCATCAGTCAAGAGTTCTCAATGCTGCCAGTGACGTACTTACACTGTACGGTACCCTTGATGAACCTGATGTGTCTCGTCTGTCAACTGTACTACAACTAATAATAATAAATAGCATTTGTATAGCATATATGCCCACTCGAAAGCAAGCTCTATGCGCTTTTCACTATACATGTATTAAAAACCCATGGCAACCTACTCCTACTGACTAAAGTTGTCCCTACATCCGATCCAGGCATTGGGGATTGCCTTGTTAGTGAGACAACTTCCTGTGCCTTCGGCATGTTGTGGTAGGGTGGCCAGTTCCTTTCCAAATACTTTCCAAGTCGCCTTTACTTTCCTAACTCAAAGTCAGGTACCCAGGAGGGGGCGAAAAAAATGTCCGAACCGAGGCTCGAACCCCGACTTTCCGCTTTGACTTTGAAGATGAGTGCACCAACTGCTCCGCCACCCTCCTGACTACAAAAGTAAAATAGGCTACCCGATAGGAATTGGGGAAGCATTTCGTATTTTTCTATTTCTACTACTACTAGTAGTAGTAGTAAGTAGGCTACAACAAGCTAACAAGTTCCCTTTGAAGCATTTACAGCCATTCTAAAGAAAGAAATTCTTTCCAGCTCCAAATATCCAGTCTCAGTGATACTTGTCTCCCAAAAGGTTGTCAATCCTTTAATTCATGTACTTTTTGGGATAGATTCGATCCAGTATATCAGAATCAGAGTATAGTACAACAGTGTATCCCAAGATCTGTATGCCATGTAAAGCAGGGCAGATGAGACTGAGCCCTTAGTAGACCTCCCAATTTAAATATCGAGTCGCAGTTCCAAGACGACAGCAAGATAATGGCATTTCATCTGAAACTGGTAGAGAAATTATTGTTGGCCAGATGTTCAAATGTACTGAGCACAAATTTTTTTAATTGCAGTGATTGGTGGCAAGTACTCAAGAAATATTCGAACAAAATTCAAATTGTAAATGTTGAAAAAAACAAGATTAGAGATACATGCTGCAGTGAAGAATTTATTCACTCAAGAGAGGGAATTAAAGTTTTTCTCCCAACGGTACTGAAAAATTTGGCATTCTCGGCTTAGCAAACCGGAACAGTTTCCCCAACAATATGTAGTACGTACATAATAAATTCCATCTTTTTCATTGAGAAAGCCAGGAGGCATATTTTCATGACTAAAATGAGCTCTTCAGACTTCCGCTTTTCTTTACAACTCCCTGAAAAAAGCCTGTTCCAATTGTTTTGTAATTTCAACATTTTGGTGGGGAAAAACCTGGTCTAAGGCTGCCCACCTACATTGTGTGACTGTCAGAAAATGTTTCCTCAGAATTTGTCAGAGAGACCATGCACTTTTAAAAAATAAAAAAGTTCCTGCCCATAGCCGTGCATTCGATCCATGGTTTGTTTGTAAAGAGAAGCACGTAATTTAGTGCTGGAAAAAAAAAAAGCAAAAAGGATAAAAACAGAGGGAAAGTAAATGAGGACCTACCCGTGGCCTTCTAACCACCTGTCCCTGTAAATTATAGGAAGCTGACCCACAGCAAGAAAAGCCAAGCACTCTTCAATTGTCTCTTCACTCTATCTGTGCCCTGTGCTTCCCATTTCTCCCCCCACCCCCTCCTCTATCTCAATCCCTTCTGCTTTCCAGCATCTTGGGAGAGTAAACATGTTTTGAAATGTGACCTCACCATACTGGTGACTGTTGAAGCAAAAAATAATGCAAGCAATAGAGAATTTGTTGCCGAGGTATGTGGACGAAGAAACCATCACAACACTAATGAACATTTTCTCTGCACTATCTTTCTTTCATGGATAATGACAAAGAAGTAGGACCTACCAATATCATTATCAGTGGCAACCTACAAGCACCCAGATGATCTCGACTCCAAGCTGGAGAATAAATACCAACAGTATATAACAAAACAAGAAAGTCAAGCCAACACCACAGTGTAGATTCAATGTTTTTAAAATTCTTTTTTCCTTTTTTATTATTTTTTTTTTTACTTATTTAACAACATTTTGTTTCTTAACACAAAGGTACGAAACCAAAAAAAAATCAAAAACAAAAAACACAAAGATACAATACAAACCCTTAATGACAAAAGATAAACTGACAAATGTGCAACTTACAAAGCTGCTAGAGAAGGAAAAAGAAAGTCTGATCTGATTATGAATGATGGTTGAAGGAAGTGTTCACAAGTTTCCCATCTAATCTAGATTAATCGTCAAGCTTGAATACATGTTATGTGATGCACCTGTGGCATTTTACCTGTAATACTACCTATTTCGATCTCATCACCCTTCATTCATGGTTAAGTATGCAGATCATGAACATAGTGTTCAGTTGATCGAAACCTGTAGATGACTGTGGGGAGGTGGGGGGGTTTCCTTCTCTGACTTGACACCACACACATCAGAGCGGAAACACGACATTGAAAAATAAAAAAACACTGGCCTCCTCGGCCTTGAGTGAGCTGACAAAAGAACTGTTACAAGATACCTACAAACATGAGCATCTACATCCTCGTGAGATGACATTCAACACTAACAAAATACCTGAGATGTGTCCTTTCAGATAAAATTCACTTCGTATGGAGGCAGGGTTAGACAAAAAAATGCAAGTGCACTACAGACGTAAATACAGACGGATCTTGAGATTATTTGATTTTAAGTTACACACACGTCTCTATGTGATGCTAACACCGTCGACATACAAGATACAGCTTCAAAACCCAAAACACTGAATAGACTTCTGAGACATGTTCAACACCGTCTTCAACGACACATTTGACATGTATTTGCCACAAACAAAAACAAAGCCCGCCAAAGGATGTCACACAGAGTAAGAAAAATAAAATTGGTCAACATAATTCTTTCTTCAGAATCTTTTTCTCTTGACTAGCGATGGCAAAACAACTCTTTCGTTCCCAAGTAGGCAAATGATTGTCAACATTCTGATTTTAACATGAACGAGAGAACCTGCTAAGAAAATGGAACTATTCTTTTGTCAAATTTTGATAGAAAAAGACGAAGACGGAGGAAAAATAAAATCCAAGTTATGTGCTTAATGAACATGTTTTTCTTTAGGAGGACCTTGTCTGACACCAATCTGCCATAATCACCTCCAAGTTCATTCAACGCAATGGTCTGAATAACTTATAGAGAAGAAATATAATATGCAAATTACGCTGTGAAGTCTAACTTGCCTTACCTCTGTCTTGCCCTGGACTCGCCTTAATATTTAACATTCAAAGCATTAGAGTCTAACTTTCCGAATTAAGAATTTTTTTTTTTTAATAAAGCCATTTTTTTCACAAGAAGGCCTTTCTCAGTACCGCCCATCAGAGATATGAATAACAGCAAGATGATCATAAGCACAGCAAACAATTAACTTTTGTGATACATAATTACAATTTCATTTACTAGAGGGATGAAAAGGAGTAGGAAATTAAAAAAAAGATAACATGTAATATACATATTTGAAAGATATAAAGGGACAAACTAGTAGTCAATGCGACTAAAGGTGAAAAAAAAAACATCTGGGGTACCAATGCCTTTAAATATATCTTCTGTCCTTTTGATGAATATTAAACCAAAAGAAAAACTTTATAGTTAAAATTAGATGTCCCAAAACTGCATGGGGGAAAAAAACTACCAGTAATGAAAAAAATCTGTGGCGGCACCTATGATTTTAAACAGTAAAAAAACCAAAAGCATATATACAGAATTCTGTTTGGAAATCAAAATAATAATAAAGGAAAAAAAAGTAACCCAATATGTACATTTTTTTCTTTTAAATTCTTAGAAACGATGCATATGGTATTCACCAAAAGTTTCCCCCAAAATAGAAGGCTTGACAGAAATTTTCTGAAGTAAAATAAAAAACGGAGATAGGTTTCAAGTACCATATCCAATGAACTCAAACAATTTTGTGTGTCTACATAAGTATATCAACCACAAAGCTCACAGAACTAAAAGCACAAAAGGCACCCCCAGTACATGGGATACACTAAATAACTACAGGAGAAATGACAAACAGCAAAAAAACACATAAAATGTAACCCCAAATAAACGCTGATGACAAGGGAACCGACCAAATTATGGGTACTGCTTGCTCGACACATGGACAGTGAAGAAGAAAAACAAACGTACGATGGGGACGCATCACGGACGCACGACGACGCCACAGGGACACAGGAACACACGCCATGTCACGCCAGACGCCTACGTGGCCTCTACAGTAAGGGGGAAAAAAAGGAAAACAGTCAGTCAACCTCGGAACAAACATTTTCGGAGTTTATTTTTCACATACCACAAGCATCAAAAAAGATGTTATGATTTTTTTAAAAAGCATTCCATTCAAATAATACAAAAATATGAGATTCATAAACAATCCTCTAATTGACAACGAGTATTCTTTTGCAGATAGAAAAATTTTTAAGAACAAGACAAAGCATGTCGTCAAACTTTCAGAGCATTTTCATCAACAGCACATTCAATTCTAAGTTCCCAGTAATCACATGCACCAAGCACAGACAACAACCACTTGCAACAACATCAACAGTAGGACAGACACATCCTGCTCCATTTTGTAGTGAGATAAAGCATCACTCCTCATGAGTAAGAAAAATAGGATACTCATAAAGTCTCATAAAAACATATTCATCTGACACGCTTTCTTTAAAATGAAAAAATGCAAAATTGTTTTCATAGTAGACAATAATCCAACGTTTCTGAATTTTAACTATATAGTATGAAGAGGGGCTTCTTTACTGAGCCAATCATTAAGTTCATTTGCATAATAGATGTCATGCTTTATTTGATGTGTGAATACATTTAAATGCACACAGTATAAAACTGTCAACTCGGGTTATACTTTTATTTAAGTAAGGAATTCATCCACAATTTAATTTTTACAAATTACAAGATTTCTTAATAATGGGAAAGAAAGACAAAGAAAACGAACTGCCTGTTACTTTTCTTTCCCCAGCCAGTGAGATGAGTGTACCAGTGATAGGAAAATCAAAATTCTTTGTGGAAATGTCTGTTGCTTGCTCAGATCCAGGCCCAAATTTATATACCGGTATATTCAGTTTTACTGGTCTGTCACCACCAGAATTTTATGGCAATCCATATTTCTTTCCAATTCCAAAATATAACACCTCTCTGCATGACTGGTTTTTATGCGCAAACCCAATATATGTCTGTCATATTGACCTTTTGCTTAAAGGCCAATTCCATTAGTAAATGAACGTTCTTAACACATCAAAGCAACACACTTGAACATTTGTAATAATATTGATAGTGGTATATCACAGGAGTAAATCACAGGCGTCATGTGTTTTCAACAATTCTTTAAATAATATATATATCTGTAATTACAATTGATGGGTGCTTCCCTTTAAGAATGAATTCATTTAAAGTGAGCCAAAGGCTAAAAAGAGCCCAGACTTGTGTAAACAGACAATATACTTTTGCTGTAAATTACCCTTTGAACAAAAAGTATTTCATGATTGAATGATGATCGTATTTTCTCTGTATGCAAAATGTCAAAATATGACCCTTATCAGTGCCGTAAAAAATAGTACACTGGCAGGATTACTTACCATTTGCATTATTGATGTGCAAAACGCCACAAAACAAAAATGTGACCTTGCATTCTCTATGTGTATTGAACTGTGTATGTAAGTGCATAATATGTGATTAAAGATTTGGGGCTACGCTAAATAATGAAAAACCTCAGTCCATTGACATCGTATTGCAGATTATAGTCTTACAGTATTTACTACTAAACTTGAAACACAAATGAGACCCTAGAAAGTCTTTTAAAACCCAATTCAATCAAACCGATTTATCATTCAATGGCACAATGAGCCAACTATACACAAAACACGCAATATCACCATCTTTCTCATCGGCAAAGTAGTGATATCTTTGGAATTTGCAGAAGCATGAGGCACCGTTTTGTCCCTGCCACCGCTTCATCAGAACAACGATAACGAAAAGAAAAAGATAAATAAAATAAGGACAAATAAATGTCAGTGCTTTCAAAGCCAATATAAAAATTACAGTCTGACTTCTATCCCATTGCACTAATACAACACCATGTATTACAGGACAGAAAGAAGAGACAGCACAAATCACATGTCCAGACCATGCAATAAAACCATCCTAGAACAAACCAATACTTCCACGTCAAATTTTGTTCTCACAGGAAAACCACTGACAACCATAAAGGTAAACAAAAGCAGGACAACGTAGTGAGACAGCACAATAGTCTAAACATTTGAGCTGTCCAAAATGGGGAGAGCGCAGTTGCTTCATAGATAAAAACATAAAGGTCAGTCACATGCAAGGTTGTATGTATTAGCCCCAACTCACATCCATCTTTCATTTCATTCCACCAAACAAGCAGCCTTGTACGATCAAAGGTCATTCATACCATGAATCTAAAAGACGGCAGGTAGGGGCTGAATTATGATGAATACTTGTATGACATACCCTAAAACTAAGTACAAAAATTTGGCCAAATAAGCACCTTACCACACCTAAAGTAAGTACAAATTTATTGACCTAAACAGTAGGACACAAATGCTACTTAATATTTCTCACAAAAGCCCCAAAGGCTTCACTTCTGTCCTTGCATGTTGTAACCAAAGAAACCTTAAGATATTCACCACAAGTAGACACGAAACAACATATAGCTGGATTGTTGACAGACAGCTAGAACTGAAGAACAAAATACGATCTTTAAAACCAACAGTGAGAAGACCCTGTCCACAGTAGTATAAGCCAGGATACACTCCTTACAAGCATATACACACACAGCTACAGCAAACTGCCCTTACTGTAACAGAGCAGTCCAACAGGAAAAACAAAAATCAACAAACAGCCTGCAAAGGTGCTGCCATCATTTTAAGTCAAAATAAAAGGATACCTGACCTGGATGCTCAAGAACCGTTTTTCAAAAGTATTAAATAGAGCAACGGAACATTTCCTCTGACTTCCACAATTCTTACAATTATAACCATTATATGACGGGGGAAAGAAAAAAACTGTTCCGAGTATCAAAACCAGGTACACAAACAGTATTAACTCACCATAAATAACACAAAGAACACTCATATGTGTGTTCTAAAAATGCAAATGCACATCCATAGTTTGTACACAATGCAACAAAAATAAAATACCACTTATCTGTAGAGCCTCACCTTTCCCTTTCACTGTTCCCAGCCCAAAAGACAAATGTGCCTGCTTAGTACGGTTTGCTGTCATTCTTGGGGCGCTTGAGCTGCACCTTGAGTCGCTTCATGCCAATCTGGAAGCCGTTCATGGACTGGATGGCTCCCTGAGCAGCGACTGGATTATCATAGCTCACAAATCCTACAAAGACAAAAAGATACAGTTTGGAGGTAATTTTTCGTGTGGTAGAGGCAATTAACTCACTGAGGACCAAAACATGTATTTGAACTTCCTGTTTCCAGCTTACACAAAAAGATATTTAAGCTCGACATTCAACCTTAACTTAACCTCATTTCCCTGGTCTAAACCATGTTTATTATCAAAAGCCATAACCCATCAATTATAATTGAATCTTGCTCTTTGCCTGTTATTTATGGAACATGACTTTGTTGTCTAGATCTAGACAAGTCTAATTACTTTGGATCAAGTATACCATAGGACTGGATCTGGCTTTCTAAATCTACTTCAATCTATTTGGTCTAGACTATAATAAACTATATTTGAAAAGTGGTATAATCCAGAATCAAAGTGCAGCAACACCAGAACTCACTCCCAGGCTGAAGAGGAAAACATGTTTAAATCACTACCTCTTTTCAATAAGCAATAAGAGGGCAATGTAAGTTTTCAGGTAACGGTCTTCTCTCAAATTAAAATCAACTACAGTAAGCACCCACTACCTCTTGACCCATGTAATAACACATGAACTTACCAAAGCATTTGCTCAGGTTAGTTTGTTTATCAATAAAAACTTTTGCAGAGACAATTGTGCCAAAGGGCATGAACATCTGCATAAGATCTCCATCTCCGAATTCCTGAGGCAAGTGATAGATGAAAAGATTGGCTCCATCTGGACCTGTATGAGAAATATTTGTAACCTAGTAAAACTGCTTATACTTGTGTCATAAGTCAAAAGGTCAAAATCAGTACAACAGGCATTTAATGTCCCTTTTATAATGGACAGGTAGTTTCAAAACTTTTTGACAACTTTATACACAACATGCACAGAAATGTCAGTCTAAAACAAAAATATATATTGACTTGAATTTTAAAACGAACCAATACACACAAACGTATACACATTTTTTTTTAAAAATGTTTATCCACCAGTTATTCTTTTACTAAACCACATCACAACTTGTCAAGCCCCCACCCCTCTTCCCCCTAAATAACATTCATACTTGCTTAAAAAAACAAACAACTAAGCATTGGACATTCATGATGTGATTTAACCATACTTACCCTCTGTCTGTTTTCCGCCTACGTTAGCATTATTGGCTTGCATTTGAGCTGCTGCCTGTGTGTTGAAGGCATTGGGGAAGGAAGCTGGAAACAAAAACAAACACCTTGCTACACTGACAAACACTTTACTCTTATCAGGAAACGCCACACTTACAAAAACTAAACAAGCCTTTAACAGAGACTTAGGGAAATCCCTTTTCCAAAAATGTATGTCTCAGAAAATAAAACTCTCAAAATTACTCGCCCTTGTCTTCAAAAAAAAAAAAGATTCGACATAAAAAAACAAGACTTGTGAAGAAGTGAAAAGACAGGAGTCAAAAAAAAATATATTTTATCAAATTGTTACACAACATACTAATCTAATAATCAACTTACATCCAAAGAACCCACATGCGCACATTCATCAATAATAAATTTGACTTAAAAAACACCTCGGATCTTCAAGCAGTTTTAGGATGAGCAATTTAAGATTTCCAGTAAAGTCCATCTCCAGGAGAACACAAAAACCTAAACAGTACAAACCTGCATACTGCTGAATGCCGGAGTATGCCTGACTCAGGGCATCCATGTTGTTGGAATTGTTGGTGCCAAAGCCGTTCATGTTGTTGCCTCCCATGTTGTTACCACCCATGCCGCCCATTCCTCCGGAGTTGTTGCCCATGTTGCCTGAAAATTGAGCCATGCAACAATAACTTCACAGCACTTTGCGAGACATGGGCACACATGGAAAGCAGAAGCTTTATTTTTTAAAATATGCATTTAGCTACTTGTATTAAACAACGGCTTTATAACTAACTGCATGCCTGAAGGTCTTGAATGAAGAAGCTACCTACTCCTTTTACAACTATAATTCATCAAAGGACAAAGGATACACCACTACAACAGCAATCAACAGAACAAGAAGTAACAAACTAAAAACACCATTTTTAAACATAAAGAAACAAAGACAAAACGCACAAAACAAAGGACAGCACTATGACAACAATGGGTGTCCTTACCAAACTGATTTCCCCGAAGCGCTTTACAAGGCAAAAAAAAAAAAAAGAGGGGGAGAGAGGGAAAAAAAAGGACATAAGTACTTTCTTCCCAAGCATAAATGAAAAGACAAAGCAAAACAAACGCAAACTGAGCTTTATGCTGTCAGCACTTCTAGCAATATGTTTTTTAAAGCACATAAAATCTATGAAGACTAGTAATCGCATGCTCAAATCAGGGTGACCGCCAAACCAGATTTTAGCACTCCTACAGTCCTAAAATGAGCGCAAGTTTACTCTGTCGCGCAAGACCTCAAATGTGCGTAATTAAACCCCACAAATCAGCTGGGTCTAGTTCTGTACGGAGGTTTAGCCACAAGCACAGGGTGGATTTGTATTGGGAAATAAAAATCTGCACATCAATACCAAATTTGCCAGTATTACTTGTCTGCTAGACTAATATATAATTGATAACACAGATCAAGTCTCGGGGATGAAAAGGAAACGAGGTTTCATTTTTTCCCCACTTAGATTTGCAAGTTATTCGAAAACTTGTGCAAAATGCGGATGAGGAAAGTAACACTATACAAGACGGGTGGTTGGGGTTCATATATGTCACGAGTTAGCCAGAAACAGACAGCAAGTCCACGGGCACTGATGCAATTGCTGCCCTGGCTATTAAGCTTAGTTGAAAATCGGTCCAGACAATAACAACACACACCTCTTGACTCCCGAGTCCAATCGAGGAAAGGGGCGGTGCACGATGATGCACTGACCATGAGGACCCCAATAGCAGCTTCCATTACACATTGCACTCGCACAGCGTTTTAAAAAAAAAGCATTTTTGTGGTTTGGAAGACAAATGTAATGCTAGATCAGTTTTATCATACTCCTCGCGTAAAACTCGTTCTTGAAATGATACAAACATCCCAGACAAGAAGCGAACAAGATCTTCTTTCTTTAGAGCTTGCAAAACAAAAATTTTTTTGGGGCAGGTTCTCCTGGATAAACTCACTGACCTCTTTTACGTCTGGGGTGTTTCCTGAGTGATTACTAAAAGAATTTGTAGGTCTAGCAGATTCCTGGGGCCTGGCGGTCACCCAAGCCAAATGAGTTAAAGCAATATTTTGAAATAAAAAAAAAGAGAAGCCCCACTGTACTCACATGACAAACAATGGACACACATTTAAACACAGACACATTTCTCTATATTCATATGACCTGTTGTGCAACAGTAAATCATTCACATCCCAACAATAAAAACTTTTAAAAACCATTAAAATAAATAATGGCTTTAAATACTACAATACAAGAAAAGGAAAATAAACACACAGTACCCCCAACATGCATTACAACACATTAAGCAAAACAGCTGAGGATATTATCCCACATTGTTTCAGATAAGATTTGTCTGAATAATGTATTTCACTAGTAAATATTTCATTTCAAAGTCCTGGTCTATTGTAACTATATAGGTCATTATTTCTTATATGCTCAGCTAACCAAACACATAATTGGAGATTCCATCCTTTTTTATAAGTCATTCGATAAAAACTACATACTTTCTTCCAGCTACCAGCTAATGTGTGCAACAATGTCACTCAGCTCAATTTCTTAATGCAAAGCTTAAAGAAAAAAATCTCGGATTAAAATTTCTTATAATTGTACGTACACTCACCAGAGTTTCCGTTATTTGCCCCCATCTGGCCAAAGTTCCCCATGCCACCTGAAGACAAAAAAATGTCAAGCCTCATTACACATGAACATCAAGTGCAAGCAGGGGAAAAAAACAACCCAAAAAACTCCCAGAAACAACCTATTCTTGCAAGTCTTATCCCCATATACCTGGGCAGGAAGAAAAAACTCCCAGAATGAACAAAACTTGTCAATCCGCACCCAGTCACGCAAAGACTAAGAGAGTCAGTATGACATCTGACAGAGTGATTGAAAACCCTAGAAGGCCCACAGATGATGGACTCTTCCTTCAAAGAACCTCTTCGAAGAATGGTTATAAATGACAATAGCAATTTTGCTTCAGTTGGCATTACTGTATCCATCGATAATCAATAAAAATGTACCACTTGCTTGTGCTATGTTTGCAAAATAATGATACAACACTGTTTTGCTTATTTACATACTTGTTCGAGTGGAAGTCTCTCTCTAAGTCACTACTGCTGGTAACTCTTACAAAGTAGACAATTTCAAGAATGATACCCACAAATATATGTAACCCCCGGACTATACAATAATAATAGTTAACAATGTCTTAAACATGCAAACAAAAACTGGCATTACTCAATAGTTAGCCACTCCTTTGATACACACTAATTTACTTGAGTTTGTTGAAAGCACACAAACACACACAAAAAAACAACATATGGTCATTAAAGCCAACAAAAAAAAATAACTGACACATTTCATTAAATGTTGTTGCTGAAAACACACAAAAGCACTTATATCATTTTCCAATATAATGAAGATGTACATATAAGCCTGCAAACTTTCACACAAGAGATACAACTTGATTTGAGCAAAAAACGCAAAAAGATTACGAGATCATCATTGCACAGGGAAAATGTAAATTGACAGACAAAATAAAAAGGCACAAGAGAGTAAAGAGCTAGCATTAGTGCCTTCCAACCATCTGCACTATCAACTGGTGCAAAAAGTTATGCTCTATGAAGAAGCTTGCTGGTGAGACAATGCTCATGTTATAAAAATTAAGAATACATGACTACGAACGGAAAGCCAAATGTAGAAGTAATTTACAATTCAAGACTTAAAAGAATAATACATACACACTACTGACACAATAATGGTAACCTCTAGCTAAGAAAATGGCAAAACATTACTGGGTATACAAATGTAGATGAACAGAGGAACTACAGTGGGATGAAAAAATGCAAGGGAAATAATTCGTACTTCAGGAAAACAAAAGGGTGTGTCATCTCATCTCGAACTAGAAGAGGACAAACAAAATAACTTTGCTACCTGTATAGTGCTAGACAACCAATAACTTGCGATAAAAAATATTGGAAAATGAAGCTACGTACTATTACTATGATACAAGTTATAAAATGAACACTTGCATCGGTTCTCGGGTTAGTTGCTGAAACTGAAATCTGAAGCAAACATTTAAGATTGTCCTGTGTTGAAAACAGCCAACTGCACTAAGAACTTTATTATTATTATTGTTCAAGTTTGTTTTTTTCTGGCTATGCACTAAAAGAAAATGATCGCATTACACAATCATATCAATAGAAATTTACACCAAAAATATACAATCTAAAATAAAGCATGCAATGATTATCAGATAAATGCAACAGAACTTTTTTTTGTGCACACAGCTATGGGTCCAAAGAGCAAACAATGAGGTGTTTACGCGTTCCAGGATATCAATGATCATTCAAAGAAATGGAACCACAGGAGACACAGGAAAGCCAACATAAAATACAATCAATATTATACGGATATACACAACTGCAAGAGCTGAGAAAATTTTACATTATATATGCAATACAATGTTGAAAACCAGAACCTACTACACCGCTTGAAAGTGCAAAAGCATCATTTGAAACAAAGAAGCAGCTTCAAAGTAGTACACCAAACAATTTTTCACAAACAAAATTCCCTTCAGACTTCAGTCCTGGTATTGTTCAGCTCAGAAACCCAAGAAATTTCCCCCTCAACCGTGAAAATAGATGCCATTGATGTTAAGAATAAGAAGTAACAAATATCTGCATCAGTACGGAGCAAAGACAGGAAAACAACCAACCCTTCCTCATGGTGCGTAAAAAGAAGGTAAGCACAGTGGTTCTAGGACCATCAGGTCAGGGATTATTTTACAGCACCATTTTATGCGGAGGAAATATAAAAAAGAAATAACTGACTAATCGTCACCAAGAGGAATCAAAATTACTGTTTTATAACAGAATCAGGAAATGCCAACAAATCTCAAGGGCTTTTTGAAGATGACATGGCTTACATTAATCCATGTTAGAGAAAATTTGAAACCCCAACATCAAAGGCACTGCTGAACCCCCCTTTATAAAAAAAAAGATTTCCTGAAGCATAAGAAAATGAGCGGGGGGAGGGTAGGGTGTCAAAATGTTTCACAGCAATCATAATTCCGAGTACAAAAGGTGAGAAAAATACAAACAACTCCCTATCTATCACTGCCACAGCAAAAGACCAAAATCAAAAGAAACACCAAAAATGTTGCACTTTAAATACTAAAGCATGTGGACTTCCATAAAAAAAAACAGAAATTGCTCACAAGGAGATAACTGCTGAAAGAAAGCTGAATAATGATTCGAAGTAAAAAGCCAGTAAACTGAAACTACCCCGAGCTAAAAAAACCCAACTGTTAGAATTACAAGCAACTAAAGCTGCCAATCTCAAAACAGAACAAGCCACCACAAAGATATAAAGGGAACAAAGACTGAGCACCAACAAAATTCACTTCAAGCTCAAAGAACCAGTAGTCCGAAGCCATATGGTACTGATGAGGGGAGGTTTTCACATGCAACAACCAACCATCACATGAACTTACATAACTTATACCAAAGTTTCAATGAGACCATTAAATGTAATCATTATCAAAGCTTTATAATTTAGGCATATCTTAATCCTTTTAAAAGTAGCAATGAAATTGGAAAGCAATGCCACCCAAGCATTTACAAACGACAACAATAAGAAGGAAAAAGTAATTGCTGTCTTTCGATTGAGCTTTCTTTCCAATCACTTTACAATCCGATTATCATCATTTTTGCTACAACCACAGTAATGGTTGCTAGGAAGTTGGTGTGTACCTATGGACTCCTAAGTAGTCAAGCCACATTTTATAGAATGTTTCCAGATTATGTATCTTTAATCAACAGTTACAATAAGAGGCTCAAACATCAAATGGAGGCATCAAAGGAACAATCTACAGCTCTTTGCCAAACCATTGTCACTCTGCAAATAGCAGGCATGCTTTAGCAATAAACTATGCCGGGCTTTTTGAAAATAAACTTGTGCTGTAGCGAAAGACGAATTACAGCTGGGGTGGGGCCTTAGCTAGAATTAAGGAACACTCTTTGCAATTTTCTACATCAGTCATCTATTTTGTACCTCAGGGGGGAAAAAAGCCAATTTGTAGGGTCAAACGATTTCTCTAGCTAAAGCCCCAACACGAAGGGGAGAAACGGGAAGGAAAAGGTACAAACAGAAAGCAATGCTCGTTTACTCAGCTGATTGCCCACCTTGATTGTTATTGCCCCCGGAGTTCATGCCTTGCTGATTGGAGTTGTTTGCCATCGACCCCAAACTGGCCAGAGCCGCAAGGAGAGCTGCCGCAAGATCAGAGACTACTGGTCACAGACTAGGCAAACATACACACGCGCACACTGGTAAGCAAATCAGTCATGCACTGAACCCAATTTAAGAGTGTAGATTGTTCACAAAAGCTTTCCATTAAAAGGATGGTTGACACAAAGAAATGTGTGATATAGTAGAGTGAAACCCTGCCATAACTTGACCAAGTGTGGACGATTTACTTAATCTAAATTCATATATTCACACACCAAAAGCTCAGATTCATTTTTTTAAACAGTGGAATAAATACTGTCTCTGTGCTCAATTTCCTTTGACCCGATTTTGCACTTCCAGCAAAATATTTTTTATACAAAACCCCAGAAAACAAAGTTACAACAGGGTTCCACCTCTTCTGGTCAGAAATCACATCACAAATATTCAGAAGAGCTAAACAACTCTCAAAGGCACCCAATACAGCATAAAATGTGGGACTATAGTCCTTTGATTACTCAGGGTCTCTCCTCTAAAACCAACGCAAGATCTAAGAACAGAAAGCAGAGAAGCACTGTCAGGGACCATACTCTTTCAAAATAAAGAAAAAGATACACAAAGAGACCTCCCGACGCATTAAAAAAAGAATCACCACAGTAAGGACAATGATTGAAACAAGTGCTACAATAAGTAGGCGGCAACCTTCAAGTACCAAGTCAAGTTCAAATAAGAGCAACTATCCTTATACCAGATATTAAAGACTTTAGGCACTGCGCATCCTTAGCAATATGGTAGCATGGACAAGATTAATAATTAACTCCACTGAAGTAAATTTTGTTCATGCACGAAAGTTGGAAGCACAAAAACCACAACTGGGATTTCAGTCAACATAAGAGGCTACTGACCACAATTATCTGTACCATTGTGAGTGCCATTTACAAGAGACCAAGAAAACAAGTTTTGAGTACCAACTGCCATTTGGGACATATAGGACAACATTTTACACCAACCTCACAAAGAATAAAAATGTAAGCATATATACAAAAGACTGATGAAAGGTACAAAACTCCCCCACTATTGCCAAGTTTACAATCCATCTGTTAGATTTGTTACTTATCTATTAGTTAGAACGCAGTGGTAATATTAAGTTGGGAAAAATTGCAACCTCCTACAAAGGCCCTCACTTGAATCCCTTGATCAGAAACTCAAGTTACTGATGAAACTTTACAAAAACCATGATAAAAGTATTCTCCGTAAATTGTGTACTCTCAGCAAGAAGCAGAACACCATTACCTCTGCATTCAAGTATACAGACTACAGATTCACATCACAAAGAATGATCTTCTTACAATTAGTTATTTTGGACGAAGGAAAAATTTCCTTAGAGAAATAGATAACGCAAAAATATCCCCAAGTTTCTTTTCCCCTTTTAAGATTTGAACTCCTGATCGCACTTAAGAAAAACAACGGGAAAAAAACAACAACACAGGAACATTAGTACACAATGGGAACATTTTACACAAGTACCCTTTACCCATCCTACTGAGCATATGACCACAAAAAATGTGCTTTCAACAGAACTATTGAAGATAAGAACACACATTTCTAAAAACCAACATAACACACAAGCGCAAACAATCACTTGACAAACATATGCCGTTTTAAAAAAAATCAGTATAAATCCTGCCCTCCCTTAATACTGATGAAAGAAAACAACCTGTTTGTATAATTGAATATGCACAGTCAACGGAATAAACATAAGTGCAAAGGAAACTTCCTGTGTTTTCAACAAAGAAAACAAGTGACATAAATTACAGGTAAAGATGAACAAACAAAACCCTCAATCCCCTGTGTTTCCTAGACAAGTTATTTAACAACAACAACAAAAAAGAAAATGAAAGAAGAGCAGCAAATGACAACTTTACTGAGTGAGAGAGAAAGAGAGAGAGAAAGTCAAGGAACTCAAAATACGATATTTTTGATGGTATAACCACTACCGGCCTGTCATGATCAGAAGACATCCACTTATTCTCAGAGTTAATATGAAGAGAAAACTAAAGCAAAAGAAAGAACATGCACTTTATTAGGACTTTCACATTAATACTATACCGGGATTTAAAACTATGACAAATTTGTGAGACGAAAATAGTTTACTAACACTTAGACTAAAAAATCATTGCATGCTTTTCTGATGAAAGGGAACTTCAAATGCATGAAATTCAAATGTTTTCTAGTCAATAGCCAAAGGGGTTCGGGACATATTGAAATTGTGTTGGCATCTAAACATGCTTTGCAAACTTGAAGTTGTACATTTAAAAAAGTGAGGGAAAAAAATGTATTACAGCACAGGAATGGATTTTAATTCATGCATTATGCACTATACGACAACAAACAAATCACAATCCATTCTGACGTAATATTACCATTGCAAAAACTATGTGGACAAGTGTTAAATTTTTTTTACAGGTACACATGAACCGAAAACAGTCACATCTCAAACCTAACTGTCACCACAACTGTCTCTTTATGTGTAACAATACTATAGTTTAACATAATAATATAATGAACACAGGAACTTAAAGATTGTGAGAGATCACTTCCGGCTTACATACTAATCAGAACTTACCAGGATTATTACCAGCTGCTGCAGCTGCAGCGGCAATTAACTGCTGCATGTTGAGTCCCATTCCGCCAGCTGAAGAACAATACATATGTAAAGAAAATATAACCCAAACAGAAAGAAATTTAAAAGTAAAAAGAAAAAAAACCACAACATACTGCCCATCAAATGTGAATTGAATTAAAATTTGTAGCAATGAAAAGATGCCCAAGCGGCTATTTGTTGCTATAGAAAAACGAGTACATAAAAGATACAGGTAAACAAAGAAGCAGTAACGAGAATCCCCAGTCTTTAGTCCTTACAGATAAACACTACCATCTGACAAAATGATTGTATTCACAATTGAGAAAGCAAAATTGAATTTACCTTGGTTGTTAAAATTGCCCATGTTTCCGGCTGCCACCTGCTGTAACAACTGCTGTAAACAGAAAAAAGACAAGAACTTGAGCATTTTCCTAAAGGAAGAAACATGGACTCCTATCACAAAACAAACATCCAATTCTAGCACAAGCCAAAAAAAAAAAAAGACCCTTCAGCCATCTGTGTGAAAAAAGTGGAGGACAATTTTTTTTTAAATTGGGGTTGGTGGATGTTGAAAATTTCATGCAACCAGTAAGAGCCACAATGAAATGATCTTACTAAACCGCTTACCACCCACCAGCTATTACTAAACTAAAAAGCAAGGAAATTTTCAAAAGTAAAATACAGGCACATCAGTCTATGCACAAAACAAAATAAAGGACGGAAAAGCAACTTTGTCTAGTTGGGGCTCTGGACCTTTCTCAGCAGTAGAACATCTGATCAAAATACAAGCATGTCACTCAATGTGAAACCAGTCAGCCGTATATCTTACAGCCTGGGCCTGTTAACATATCCCTACCTCAGTGCTTTCTTGTCGTATCTCCATTTTCCATAACAGAAAAAAATGTGACATCTTGTCAAGCTCACTCTTTGTTATGAACTGTTTCCACTTATTTTTTTTTTTATGCGAGCGCTGTAAAACCCCACACTTTAAAAAAAAAGGAAAAAAAGAGATATGACAAGAAAGCAATGGGGCCGCGATATATCAGATGATAATGAATGAAAATTCAGACAAAAACCACAACATAAAAACTTCCTTTTCTAACAACAGCTTTTTTCTACCTACCTACCTCCACAATGTTACCCGCCCTGGCGGGTGAACAGTTTTTCATAAATTGATACCAACAAAAACATTTCTCACTGTGCAGCATTTCATTACAAATGATTACAGCTTGTATTTTAAAAAACACCTTTTATCCCACCATTGTTATTAAAATTTCAGGCTTCTCTGCCCAAACCTGAAAATTGTCCATACATTTTTTTCAAAACCCAAGATGACAAAAAATGTCGGGAAAATCTGTAAAAGCGATAGCGGACCCAAGAGCAGTGCCATTTAACAGCAGAAAAACTGATTCTAAATACTGATGATACGAATATCCTTTTCAAATGACTTAATTCATCAAGAAAACTCTCTTTATCATAAAAAATAATTTGCAGTGTCTCTAAAACATTGATCACAACTACAAAAGGTAGCTGAGCAATGAATTCTATGCTCTTTTCGTAAGGTGTGAGAGACTGGATCATCCTAGGTCACATACTAAGCCTCCCTTACTCCTGTCCATGCAACAACCCCTACCCCGATAACTTTGTCATTGTTGCTGATTTGCAAAAATGCTGTGCTTTTACTTCCCTGCTCCCACTGGAAACAACCCACCTGGTATGGATTCGCTGCTCCGCAAGACTGTGGGTCTTGCTGCTTGCCATTCGCAAGACCCTGGCCCAAGGACTGGTTATGAAATTAAATCCAAAAATAAAAGTGAAAGTGATTTCATAGCTTAAACAAATCTCAATGGTTATCCTAGCGCCTCCAAAAGACGTAGGCAGAGACCAGAGATGAGAATGCAAATGTATGCTCAAAGAACACGGAGAGGAGATTAACCATTGCTTTAAACGGCGTTCCAAAAGGCCAGGGCAGTGAAAAAGACGCATCTGCTCGTAACATATTTTGTTGATTTTATAAAAGTGAGTCATGACATTGAAAGGAATGAGCAAAAATTGAAATAAACGCAAATGAACTGCCGACCTGTGTATGCTACAACTACCACTCCTGCTTTTCCCCCCCTTAATACAGCAAGCTCACATATCTTTTGGAGTCATAGCGAAACCGGAATTCCGGCAAGAGCCGGAAGTCTACTACCATGTTAATCGAGCATCTATGCTGAAATTATGTAGGAAACGATAAATTGTGAACCATTTTAATTTGCTTCTGAGTTGTCTTCACAAAAGCTTGATCTACGGCAGACCCCCCCCCCCCCAAATATAAAACACATCCAAATGTAACGACAACGAAGAAGTAGTCACAACATTCTGTTTAATGAAATTATCCCCTAGCCTTTAAAAACCACTGCTAATTATTCTGTTGTACGCTAATATCTTCTAGAAAAAGGACCTAGGACTAGCCAGTTTAAAAACCACTGCTAAATATTCTGTTGTACGCTAATATCTTCTAGAAAAAGGACCTAGGACTAGCCAGTCAAATACAACACCTTTTCCATACAAAAACAATATTTAGCAAACCCCCCCCCTGAAGAAAAGGATGCTTTATTCCAACACAACCATACTCCCACTATTAATTGCCATCCCTCCTACACTTTGAAAAAGAAATTATTCTCAAAAAGAAGAATTCTTGTTTTCCAGCACTTGCAACACAATGTCATATAAGTGCCGAAGATTAGGAGGTGTTACAAGAGAGTAACAAACACCAAAAAAAGGAGCAGAGATCAGGAACATAGACATTTGAAAGGAAAAAAGCAAATCACACCAAAGCACTCGCCAACCACCCGCAAGGAAGAAATACATCAAACAAAGGTGCCTCTATATATATAGCACTCACAATTTAGCTTAAGATAGGAACAATCAGTTTCTTGTATAACAAAACACACAAGAACAGTATGTAGTAACCTTACCGCAAGGTACTGAGGCCCTAGCGCCCCAAAGCCAGAGTTCCACATTGTCTGGTTCATTTGTTGAGCTTTGCGCTGTTCTTTTTCACGCTGAGTATCAGCAAACTTTACCACCAATGGAGATGAACAACCCTGTTGGTGAAATAAAAAGATTATGAAGATTTGATGTGATCCTTTCTTTATGTTGCTTAAAAACTAAAAATTTTCTTCAGACAAAAGTTAAAATGATACAAGGATTTCTGTAACAACTCTGTGTATACCTAACACTAGAACAATTCCAAAATTTTAATAAAATTTTGAAAGTGCAACAAACACATAGCTGCCAACTTATCAAAACCAAAATTTTTTTAAACTTTAGACTTAGTTTAGTTTTAGTAGAGGTTTTATGGCGCTCGCAACTGCATAAGGTCATACGAGCGCCAGAAGATTAGAGGTGTTACAAGAGAGTAACAAACATAAAAAAGAAGGGGAGATAAGGACGATAGATGTTTGATAGGAAAGAAGGAGCAAACCACACCAGAGCACCCACCAACCACCCACTAAATTTTAGACTACCCACATACAAGGTCATGATACTGATCAAATAACCCCCTCCAAAAACAAACTCAAGCTATTCAAACAAGACCTGCAGGAAAACATATCTCCAATTAAATTGTGGGATTCATGCTCCTGATTTGCAAATCCAGTCCAGAAAGTTCATAATTCTTCGGCATCAGCAAGTCCATGAGGAGTAATACTATACAACAGAGAATACATACTTTCCGACAAAAAAACAAAAACGAACACTTCCATACTCAGACTCTCGAAGACAATACATACAGGTTGCCGCTAAATGCAAACAGATGTGCGCTCAAAAAAGCCCTAGTCACTGACAAAATACAGCATATATTTAAATAACGCACAAAACCAGATAGGAGTAAATGTAAAAATTTAAGAATATGCCTTACCTCCATGGTTTGGGAATGATGCATGCTTTTGATAGCATTTTGAGCACATGCTCTTGTTCCAAAAGTAACAAATGCACATCCTGAGGAAAGTTGCGAGACAAAGATAAAAACATGTGTCCATAGCCACCCAGAATTGAAGACATTTATCTACACAGCTGTTCACATGCGCCTTTAGAAAACAAGTCAGTTTAGTTTTAGTAGAGGTTTTGTGGCACTCGCAACTGCATACGGTCATATGAGCGCCCAGAAGATTAGAGGTGTTACAAGAGAGTCACAAACATAAAAAAGAAAAAGGGGAGATAAGGACAATAGATGTTTGATAGGAAAAAAGAAGCAAACCACACCAAAGCACCCGCCAACCACCCACACCACATCAATAAGTACATAGACATTTGAATTTTTGTTAGCTACCGTTAATTTTTATTCCCTTCCTCTTCAGAGAAACACTAATGCATAACATGTGCAAAGCTTATTGAATTTCATTATTTCGAATATAAGTAAATGAAGGTCCTGACACTGTGCTGCAGTTTTATTAATAGTACAGTAATGTAAATTCATCAGACCTAAAAATGTGAGGCAGCTTGGCAAAATCAAACGCTCGCAAAAAAAAAAAACCCAGCATTTTCCCGCACATTTGGGAATTTTTATCGAATTTTCATTTTTTGGTTCAACCCCTTTCATGCTCTTTAACACTGCCATCACAAGGCTCATATAGTAAAAACCCTTGCCATCAAAGGCAACGGCATTTTGGGGAAAATCCAAAGAAACTAGGAGGTAAACATCAGCGATCAGCGAGATGTGACGGTAAAGTGTTAAAGAACACATTTCTGTGTGGATTTCACTTAAAAACGTTAATTAAAGGCATATAAGATGTAAACTTTTAGTCTCCACCGACTCTCAAGCTAAGGAAATAACTTTTCACGCTAATTTAACCTCTGAAACCAGGCGACCCCCACTTTCTTCAATCGCTAATATTTTGACTTGTATCCAAAATAGATCTTTTTAAAATAAAAAACAAGGCAAATGGACAGGCTTTCAGTTGATACCAGTAACGCAATATTTCATCCCCCCAAATTGACGAGCGCCTGATTCTACTGTGTCGTAACAAATATTTTTTGCGGTCAAATCAATGGAAGCAGACTGAAAAAATGTCTACAACAACAACAAAAAAAAGAGAGAGAAACTACTTAATATGAAAATACAGAGTGATATAACTGGTGTCGAACATAAAGGGAGGAGCAAAACCATCCTCCCTGAACAAAAAAAACTCCCGTTACATTTTAGAGGGGCGAAGGAAAAAACCCAACATCATGATGTATGTGTGTTTAAAAAGAACAAGCATCGTATGAACACACCACGAGCCATACCTTTACTTGTAGTTCCAGTATGATCCCTCAAAACTGTACATTCTTCAATGGTTCCAAAGGGAGCAAACATCATTCTCACATCATTCTCATTATATTTTTTGGACAGCATACCAATAAATAATTTCCGATCTTCAGCTGGAAAAAAAAAAAAAGAAAAGAATATTAAAAATTTTGTCTACCAATGCAAGGGCGTTTTCCCACAACTCACAGTCAAAATATTAAAACGAACGACTCGAAAACAAATTAAACAATTGGTTTGCCAACTTGAAATAAATGGTCCTAAAACAAAGAAGGTTATAAAAATATCGCCGAAAGTAAAATGCTGCATTTCTAAACAGAAATGGTTTATATATGTATTACATTAACAGAAAAGAAACACAATGTAACACACAATTCTACACGAAAAATGTAAATTCTTAACATCAAAGACGGATATAAATAGTTCTGTTGCAAGATCCTGATTACTAAAAAGCTATTAACTGGAAGAGTTATCACCTACCATAAGCTCCACTCTTTTTCTCACTGTCTGCTGGTTTCATTTGTATGGGATGATGCATCTGAAGAAAAATAAACATTTGGAAATGTCAGAACACAAGAACAGAGCATAATTCACCAGAAGACGAAATTACAGAAGTACAGCCTTTCCAGCACAACAAATTTAGTGTTCTTAACAGAGAGACAATCCAATGTGATTTAAAGAAATATCTAGTCCACATTCTCCACACTAGTCTCACAAAACAAAAGTTGATATGAATATTTTGGTAACAAACACCCATTTACAAACCGATTCTTAAAATTCAAGAAGCATAATTCTTAGAATTGAAAATTCTTTCTTAGGTACCAAATAAAAAAGGGCTAAAGTGAAAAATTAATATTTTCATTGGCATTGCTAGATTGAGAATAATCATCCGTGATTCCTAAACAAAACAAAGGGCATGAATTGAAAGTCTTCATGAGTGTATGCAATTTTTCCCCCCCCCCCCCCCCCCAAAAAAAAAGAGCTGTCACAGATCTTTTCAATGCATAGACTAGAAATTAGGTTAGATAAGAAAAGGTAGATTAAATAAATAGGTTCTCCCTGGCTATTTGTCACTTTTTCCAACTCATGAATCAGAATAAGGTTTTAATAATTTCCAAAGACAAACTCACCGTCTGCAATGTTTTCACATTATGTAATGCATTCTGTGCATCAAGAGCTGCCTTACGAGTGAAGAACGTTACAAAGCAGCACCCTGTAATGAAAAATAGAAGGGAAAAAACATTAAAAATCAAAAGAGAAAATTTAAAAACATTTCCTTACTAAATCAAACAGTGCATTTAACACTTGTAATGAAAAATAGAAGGGAAAAAACAAAAAAATCAAAAGAAAAAATGTAAAAACATTTCCTTACTAAATCAAACAGTGCATTTAACACTTATAATACCCAAGTCTCAAGTAGCGAAAAAAAAAAAAACCACCTCCAAGTACTGCAACAGTTTAGAACCCTGAAGCCATGGTAGATTTTTAAAAAAAAGAAAACCTTCACAGCCCAGGAAATACACTTTAAAAATTCAGTGTTTCATCAAGCATTCAGCTATCGCATATAGTTACTGCCGTTGGTATTTACTTCAGTGTAGCGCCTTGTTCTAATGTTTATTGTGCCAGGTTGAGTTGGCGACTTGTTATAAGTGCACACTACAGCCTGGCGGCTAAAGTCCTTGAGGGTATCAAAAGCATTTTAAAAAAAACAACTAAATAATAAACTTTCTTTAAACAAAAAAGTGCCCTGAAACACCGTTCTTTCCATCAAGGGAATGCCAAATCTTAAACCAAACTAAATCTGGAACAAAAGACATGTCGCTAAAACTGATAGAGCAACAGAAATAAGGTTTAAGAAAATAAGATCATTCATCCACAATCTTAAGAAGTAAAATCTCATAGTAAATAACCAAAAAATGCACACCGCCATAAGGCAGATCTCACGGTAAAGGTGTGAGAGACAACACAGGGTTTGTTTTTAAAAAAATAAAATTCTCCTGTCGTACCGTTTTGAGTTCAATTTGTGTTTTGTTTATGGGCCCAATAAACACGTGAATAAAACATAAGTGTTGATTTTGTTTGATATTTTGCGTAACAGTGTAGGATTTAGACTTAGTGCGTTTCCCGAATTAGTAGTTGTTCCGAGAGTAGTTTGTGACGCACCCCTCCCGCTAAGTCGCTGACAACTAACGGCCGGAACCGGCATTTCTCAGAGATTTACGGAAAATCATGAGGGCTCTCCTAAAAACTACTTCCGTTTGGCGCTCTTCTTTCATTCTTTAGCGTCCTTTTCCATGAGGTGGATGTTTTGTCTTGTTTTCCTGTTTTTTCTGTCTAGGACTCCAACGCGCGGAACACACCAACGTTGGAAACCATTACAAATCTAACCCAATTACATGCGCTTATCTGTCATATTTATTATGTTTATATTGATTGAAAGACTGCAACACAACGTGTAGCACATGTAGGAATAGACCTGCATGTGAGCCTCAACCAGATTGTCTGAAAATTTTGCGCACCCCCCCCCCCCCCCTAAAATAAAAGCCTTTGTGGGTGTCATAAGGAAGGACATCCGAGTAACGAGCGACCATCCCAACAAACACAATAAAGAAGAGACCTAACCCTACCCCCCAAAAAGAACCTGCAACGGGCCTCATGTAAAAAGGCCAAAACAAGTCCTAAATGAAAAAAAAAATTTTAAATTAAAAAACCACACTCCAAAACAAACAAGGGGCATATAGATCTAGATTCTAGATCTACAACTAGATCTTTATGGCTTACATCTACATTGCTATAGGCTATAGGGTTTGTTTGTTTTTGTAAAGTGTTTTACGGCGCTCGCAACTGCATAGGTCATATGAGCGCACGGGACACACCTGATATTTTCAGTCGGTAGGAAATTTTGAATTTTGCCCAGGTGGCAGCCGAAGCCTACTCTTATCGATTTATGACCACCAAGGGATCTTTAACGTGCGCAACTTCCACTCGGGCCCTCCGAGATTTTTCGCCCTTGTCCGAGAAGGCTAGGTGTAGATCTTTCCTACCAGAAGATCAGGGGTGTGGCAGAAAGACAGCAGTAAGGAGGAGCCAAGGAGTAGCAGTAGAAAGGCTGCAGAAAGAGTCAGGAGCCCAGAGGAGGTGGGGGCAGAAAGTGGAAATGAAAGCAGACAACAGAACATTGCTAGAGAGCAGAAAAAGAGGTGAAAGGAGACAATTTTAGAGAAGAAAATTTTTCGGTCGCTACCCGAATTCGAACCCGGGACCTTTGAATAAGAGGCCAACACCTTAACCTCTAGGCCACGAGAGCCCCCCGCTATAGGGTTTGATACAATAACACAATAGAAAACTAATAGAATTGGAATATATGAATCCTCCATATAGATCTAGTAATCTAAATAAATCTAGATCTTGTAGAACAAGTGAATAGGAATAGGCCTTGAACTAGAAATCCGCATCCGATTCCGAACAGAAGGACTCAGCTGAGTCTAGATTCTAGATCTAGAAAATCTATATCTAAATAAATAAATAATTCACGCACCTGATGAAATGCTTAATTTTACCAATATTAATATTACAGCACAACCTCTGATAGGGTTTGACACAATAGAATTGGAATATGAATCCTCCATTGAGGTCTATTATGATCTATATAAATCTAGATCTAGATTCTATTAGAACAAGAGAGGACTTGAATGAATCCACACGATCTGAACAATTGAATTAGTCAACAAACGAAATTCAAAATGGCCGCTCGAGCACAAAACTGAAAGTAGATAATTTAGGTGGTCGTCCTTTTTCGTATTCGCATTTCTACTTAGGTTCCGACAATTATGTCGGAAACGCCGACGTTGGCGGTGCGCGGGTCGGTGGTTGGCACGAAAACGAAAGTGCCGACGAAGCCGACAGGAGCAAAAGGGGTCGCTGGCAGTCGGCCAGGCCTCGCACTACGCACATTGACCGATACAGGCGGGCCTAGCAATAGCATCGGCCAGTTCGCGGGTCGGGTCGTGATTGTTGGATTTCAGACGATTGTCGGCAAACATGCAGGTCTATAGGAAGTGAACGAATGATGTTAAGGACAAAAATAGCACATTCTCTTTGTGATTGTCTTGTTTGATGCTGATAAAGCTTTGAGCCATCCAGATCGTTGCCGATGATGATTTCGCAGTCTCATAGGCTGTTCCGACGTTCGGGGTCATTTTTTTCAACTGATTTATTTTTCTTTTGCTTATTCCATTTTTTATTTGTTTATTTTTATTATTTTCATTTATTGTGTACATAATGATTTTTGTGGCCAGTAAATTCAATTAAATAGATTATTATACCGAATTTGGTGATGTTTGATTGTATTGTTTGCACCAAGGTAAGGTTACATTTTTATTAAATAACCCTTTCACAAGCCTTTGCTGTCTAAGTAACATTTTAAAATTCCTCTATGAAAGACCTTTCCATTGATATAAAATACATAACCTTTTGAAAAAGTACAAAACCCTGGAAAAAAATTTAGAAATTGGGAAACCTGTGGGTCCTCACTGTGAAATCCGCCATCATAAGTCGTACATTACAGAAATATGATACTATAGAACAAAAAAAGACTTTCAGCTGGTCAACAATCAACGACTGACTAAAGGAAAAGAAAACATGCAGTCACACAACTTTTTGAATCGATATACATTTTGATGACCAAATTCACTGAAAGCTGGAGGTCAAGACATTTTTTTAAAAAGAAGGGAAGAAGCCAGTATTCCATGAAACAATCATAGACCATACTGGACAGAATAATGGAAAAACCCTTTCAAGAAAAAATACACACCTTTACTTTGTCCTGTAATTTTGTCTCTGAGAATGTTCATGGAGTGAATTTGGCCGTACTCTTCAAATAAATTTTTAAGGTCATTTTCATCCCAAGTTCTTGGGATCTGACCAACAAACATTTTGATGGCATCAGGATCTGGTTCTGTCTGCTGGGAGTTCATGGTTCTGTGGGGGAAAAAAAGAAAGAAAAAGGTTACTCATATGGATTTTACTGGGTAAGCTAGTTCAGTTATTACCATCATTTGCACACAAAGTAAGTCTTAGAATCTAGATCTAGCTTTAACTTTTAAGGGAAAAATAAAAAATTAGTTTTTTCAGCAAAAAGCCATTTAATGAAAAATTCTGCGGCGACATAAGAGAAACGGTCAGATGACCAGCTAAAAAATAAATGATACATGGAGCCATTCTACAATTCTTTATGTTTAAGGTAGGCCTTTAATTTATAACAAATAAAAAGAAAAGAATGGCTTTTTCTCTACTGCAGGTCATCATCATCCCTTAGTTTCTTGTGTCACGACAGCTCACTTTTCATGGAATGGCCCACAACATTATCTAAAATTTCAATATTTAACACCACACTCAAAACACGGCCCGACCACTGTAAGCCGTTTTTTTAAAAAATGCAGACCCAGAGAGAAGTAACGTAAACCTACGCAGTGCAGTCCATTAGTTTAGCCTACAAAGACACAGTTCTCTTCCAACAATAGTCTGAAACAAAAAGCAACAAGAAGGCAGGGATTAGGAAAACAAAAATGGACATCATGAAAACTTTAAAAAGAATATAGAATCTGGTACTACATTTTTTCTTTCAGCAATCCCACTGACTTCGACATAAAGCATATAAATGTGTTACAAAACACGGTAGAATCAGGCGTTCGTCAATTTTGGGGCAACTTGAGTTATTGGTATCATCTTATTGTTTTAGTAGAGGTTTTACAGCGCTCACAACTGCATATGGTCATATGAGCACCAGAAGATTGTGTTAGAGGAGAGTAACACATAAAAAGAAGGGTGGGGAGAGAAGGATGACAGATGTTTGTTTGACAGGGCAGAAGAAGCAAACCACACCAGAGCACCCGCCAACCACACCAGAGCACCCGCCAACCACACCAGAGCACCCGCCAAGCACCCACGGTATCATCTTAAAGCCTGTCCATTTGCCTTGCTTTTGATGGAAAAATATCCATTTATCTCAAGATATAGGCCATTGAAGGACGTGGGTTCGCCTAATTTCAAAGGTAAGATTAGCGAGAAAATGGCCACCAAAGTTGAGTTATAATTTCCTTAGCTTGAAACTTTGCACTACTCGACTAGGTCTAGCATAGAGCAATGAATATCGATACCGATTTCAATAGTCGGTATCAATGTTTTGTTTTATCAACAGAACTAGCCTACTACAAAACGCGCAAAAAAATTTCACTTGTTTTTAACAAGGCAAGGGGGGTTTTAAGGGCTAAAAAAACTTGGGGGGGGGGGGGGGTTCAGGGGGGCAATTTGACCATGATTTGATGTTTTGCAATTAGATTTGATAGGCTATTTCTCCATAGGCCTATCGGCACACGCATCAAAAAGTAATTGTTAAGAACCAGAAGTAATCGTCGGAGGGGTCAAAACTAGTATCCTCAAACGGGACCGCAATTGTTCTGGTGTGCCCAATTCAGTAGGCTTAGGCCTATTGTTTGCTGTTTGTCAGTCTAGCCATCACTATTGACTATCAAGTGTAGGTACCAGAAACTAAATTTTCAAAGTAGCTACATGCCAAATGTATCTGTTCCATATGAAAGGCCTATATATATCCCCCGAGCATTTTGATGCCATTCTTTAACCTATCAGTCAATTTATTTTTTAAGATTATGGTAGTTTAAAATTTGATCAAATTTGTTAAGTCTCTCACTGGCTGCAACCCCATGTTTGACAAATAATAAAAGAGTACCAAGTACACTAAACATCTCCACATTAACAGAGTACAATCACTATAACATGATCATGGAGCTTAATTTTTTTCAAGATTGTGAGATCATTGCAAATCAGTATTTTATCACATCAAACACGATGATCTGTTGTTATTTCTACAAAAACACCGGCCGGCGCACCGGTACTATATTGTTGTGTACCGAGTGCACCCCGCATGGGGGGTCACATGCTTTCCGAGCTTCGCGGAAGAATTGATGAAAAATTCAAAGCTGATTATTTTACTCTAATAGGAAATGAACTGATCTTTTTATTGATAACTTTTTCAAGCCGGCATTTTACCTATATCGTGTTAAAAAAGATCTTTGAAAATTTTGACGGTATTTTTAAAGGCTTTGTACACCAAAGGCCAAAAATATACCACGGGAAAGCCCGTTCAAAGCTCTATAGTATAGTTATTCGCCAATGGAAAGACGGTATTTCATCATCCATCTTTCCGCGAAGCATTTGAATGCATGTGTATCAATTTTTTAACAGGTTGACCACACATTCCGACCGCGAGGTGCTTCATTTTCCACGGCGATTCTAATAATCAGACATTTCATAAAAACAACTTACATCATTGTAGCCTACCGAGGAAAAGCTGAACTTTAACATTACAAGGTGTACAGCATTTTATGTTTTCTAGAGATTTCACCGATACCACGCGCTCAGAAGGCCGCAACTGTGTTTACGCTACCCATTAAGTACGGCAAGCCTCTTCCAATAAAAATCAGACACTGTTCACTGTCATTGAACATTCTGCACACACCAGGAAAGGAATAGTGAACCAGTCGCACCACTAGATCTACTATGATACCTGTTGGCCTCTGTTTATTGCGACAGGGTGACGCTTTGACAACACGGCCTTAATAGCGACAGTGAACACCGAGCTCTTTTAAAGTTGATGATTAGAACCTAACATCATCTAGACCTAGCATTTCCCGCTTTGCTTCCCAGCGTGGTGGTCCTAGGCCCAAGGCCTAGTTATCTAATCTCCGCCTAACAAGAAAGGCTTTCTACAGCAGGCATTCAAATCTTACGACGAATTTGACAAAGCTTTTGCTAAATTTAAAGATGAAAATGTTGTTGCCTTTAGGAAGAAATCATCTGAAACAGTTAAGAAAGCGAACTTAAGAGTGTGTGGCAAAGGGTACTGTCAATTGCCACCGAGTAAATTGGAGCTCTTTTGCGTTGGTGAGTAGATCTAGCTTATTGTGCTCGAGTGATCGGTGTTGTGCGTTCGCCTCTCTGTCCCTCTGTGTGTGTGTGTCTTTTCCGGACCCCGTCCCCCAATATAATGGGAATTTCAGCTTGAGTTTGTGTGCGTTTGTGACCTTCTACTTCTAGAATTGCCTGTGTTGGTTCTACACCAAAGTGTAGGCTAAGGCTAGCCTAGATCTAGGACTACGTTTCATTGAAAACACGCCAAGTTGGTGTACCGAAGCTCTAGACTAGATGCTCGTCCAATGAAATTAGTTGAGAACAAATTGACCCATTAGACACACATTATATATAGTAATACAGTCTAATGCTAAATAGTGTTTTCAGACTTGACACCGCTTCACTCGGTGGCAATTGATTGACGCTACCGTGGCAAAAATCTACAAAGACTTTCTGTACAGTTATTAGTAGAGTTGACTTTATCTGTACACAATGATTATGATCAAGAAAGCCCAAATATTGAGGCAACAAAACATCAGCGGCAACAAAAAAAAGCTGCGACTGCCTTTATTAGTTAGGTGTGTCAGGAGACTTCCGTAACGAGCGACCACTATGAGACAGAGAGTAGAATTGAGGGCTAGGGGTAGGGGTAGATCTAGGGGTAGGGGTAGGGTTGGAAGCCTCTGCTTTATTGTGTTTGATGGGGAGGTCGCTTGTTACGGAAGTCCTTCCGGTGTGTGTGTGTGCGCGCGCGTGCATATGGCCCCAACCATGAGCGGTGTGCGTGTGTATTTGTGTGTGTGTGTGTGAGAAAGGGTGTGTTTTCGTGTTTTCTTTCTTTTTAACTTCTTTTTTTGTCACAGACTCGCTCTGTCGCAATAAACGCTGCATTAATTGTCACAGAGTCACTCTGTCGCAATTAACGCCGCTTAAGTCTTAAGTTGTCACAGCGTCACTCTTGTCGCAATTAACAGTGCTACCATTAAGATTTGCATAAATCCAGTTTGTTTTTTCTTTCAGAAATACTGAGAAATAGATTCTAGGCCGGCTTAGATTTAGGGCGCTTTTTCGGTAGTTCCCACCCCCCTTATCTTATTTGATAGAGCCTGACCTACATCTAGATCTATATACGTTTGATTCGCGGCAAGCTAAGATGTCAAACCTAACAACTGCAAAACATTAAATTGTGGTAAAATTCAGGGGGGCATGCCCCCCTGAAACCCCCCACCTTGTCTGTATTAGGTCAGGGGGGCAAGCCCCCCTGAAACCCCCCTACTCTTGGGACCAAAACCGGCGAATAACAAATGCGGGGTGGGAACTACCGAAAAAGCGCCAGATTTTCTACCAATAGATCTAATCTAGATCTAGATTTCTAGATCTAGAGAGTCTGGGCCAACATTAGATTTAGAGTCTACTTCAGGATGATCATTCATTCATTGGGTACCCTGCTATTCATTCATTGCCAACCAACAAGCACAATAAAATGAAGCCAATGAAGGAAAGGTCCTAACTGACCGAACATCCTAATTAGGATTTAGGAAACAAAAATGGTTTTCTGTAAAACTGCACCAGGATCACGAGTTAGATTAGCAGCCTTAACTAACCGATCTAGAATCTGGATACCATTAAAAAGAAACTGTTCAATACAAATTGTACAAAATCTAGAGTCTATACCATACCACAGACTAGAGAGTCTACTTCTAAGACGTACAGCGTCACAAGCGATCCCATGAGCAAGGCTACACCAAGGCTCAACTCATTAGGCCTACACACAAGACTTGTGATTGTGCTTGTGTAAACGAAAACCATACAAACTAAACGATCTAGACTTTACAGAGCAAATAAATAAACATTCCTACTTTACACATCTTAACTGTAAAACAAAGAAACATTGAATCGGTCTGAAACACTAATGAATACACCTCTAAGACACGTGCTTTTTCATTTCATTGGAGATCTCGGTCAAACCAGAGCTCTTTCTTCAAAATTTTCGAACGTTGTTGGGCATATAATTAGCACATGCATTGACACAAGACAAACAATTGATTTGC